TCCCTTCTCAAACTGGATTTTTAGAAGCATGCCTCAACCAATGGTGTCAGTGACATTAGGATGCTAAATTTGGAATCCAGAATTAAGCAATCACTGCTGATACACACTTGCTTTACTTTAAAAACAGTGATCTAGTACAGTGGTGGGTTGCCCCTGGTTCGCACCAGTTCTATAGAACCAGTAGTAAAACCGTCGGGAGGCTCCGCCCACCGACCCCAACATCATCAGAACGCTTCTGCGTATGCGCAAAAGAGTGCACGTGTAGCCCCACTGCGAACTGGTAGTAAAGGTAAGTACAACCCACCCCTGGTCTAGTGTAGACTTTACATTAGAATTGTACATGGTTAAAGAAGGATTTGGCTTTGGACCTCACATGAGCAAACGTGCAATAATTCTCTATTGCTGCTCAAAGAAAAAAACAACTCTTCTTTCACATTTCTACACCAACTAGGGAAAAAAAAAGAGATATGGCTGCTTTTAAGAGTTGCATCACTGACTTTTTAAAGCAGCCGAATCTTTTCTTTTCTTTTTAGCCTGCTGCAGAAATTTGGAGTGGGGGGGGAAACAGACTTTCTGGCAGAGAGACCCTCCATTCATATGAAAAGCATTTTTTCCCGAATCATTTTTGAAGCATGCACCGCCTTATTTTAGCTTTTATGTCAGATATAAGATTATAAAGAGGAGTGGAATCGAACTTTCAACTAAGGGGCCATTATAAAACATCCTTTAAAGTCCTGATATGGCAGTAGTAAAAAAAAAATGGCAGTATTTTAAAGGAAAAGTTAAAAGCACTCGTGAAAAACCAATAATGAGAAGTAAAGGCGTGGTCAACTTTATTGCCAGGCCTTTGGTTAAGGCAGTGGTATTCCTCCTCTAAACCTAGGTGCGTCTTATGGTCGGGTGCGTCTTATAGTGCAAAAAATGCAGTATATATATGTGCAGGTATATACTTATGTACTGTATGTATATGTACCATATGTATATAGCATGTGTATTAGCGGTGGAATTCCATTTTTTTAACTACTGGTTCTGTGGGAATGGCTCGGTGGACGTGGCAGGGGAAGGATGCTGCAAAATCTCCATTCCCAGCCCACTCCAGGGGAAGGATACTGCAAAATCCCTATTCCCTCCCCACTCCTGGCAGAAGGATATTGCAAAATCTCCATTCCCACCTCACTCTGGGGCCAGCCAGAGATGGTATTTGCCGGTTCTCTGAACTACTCAAACTTTCTGCTACCGGTTCTCCCAAACCTGTCAGAACCTGCTGAATAGCACCCTTGATGTTGTATATGTGTGTTATCTATGTGTTTGGTCAGATATATACTTTCTCTTGAAAGCTGGCAACAGAATTTCATTTTTAATGTGGGCCAGTGTGCTCACAGTAAAAAAAAAAAATGACAATAAAAGTTATCTTATCTCATCTGTATGTAGCTCAGGGTTGGCATACGGGGCTGTAGAATTTCTCTTCGCTTGATTTTTTCATTGGCAGACATTTCATTACCCATCCAAATAACCAGAGAATGTTGTATCTTCACGCAACACCTGACCCTTGTAAAAAATTAATTCTGACATTAAAAATGTAACTTTTCATTTCCGCAGTGCAATGTGCATGAAGGGTTTGTCAGAAAGCAATTGCACTATTTGGCAAGATCAAGGCTTTTTTTTTTTTTTTTGGAATTGGAAAAAGAGAATGTTCGCCTGACGTATTTGTCGGAACACCTCAATTTGATTAAAATAATTATTCCATGAGGCAAACAGGCCTGTCGTCCTTCTCTGGCAGCTGTTATGACAGGCAAAGGGAGAGATGATCAAGCAGGGAGAAGAAGGAGCTCATTGTTTCTAAGCCATCTCAGTAGACGAAATGGATGTTATCAACAACAGGACACTGATACAATCTGAGCTGGCAAATGCATTTCTTCTCTTAATTCACTAGAGCAGCTGTTCCTGTTCAGCAAATGTGATGGTAAAAATATAAGCCGTGTGCTTCTGATGCAAACTACCAATCTCAACAGAACTTGCGTGATGCTTTACTCTTATTTAAATACTGGTTTAGTAGAAAGCTCTTCTATTTTTTTTTCTTAGAAAGTCCTGGAATTCAGCCCTAATATACACACGCTGTCCTATTTTGGATGGTGATACTGGAATAAAGATGATGCCATAACCAGGCAGCTCCTATATCTACAGCAAGCTCTCACCCACCTCACTGCCCCAGGAAGCAGTAAAGGAAGCAGTTAAGAATGGTTGCAAACCGCTAAGAATTGCTAAGACAGGCATTCCTATTCTGCGATGTTGGAAGAGCAAGTGGGTAGTAATTTCCCGTTTAGTTTATATGCAACACACAGATCAGAGCAAGCAGACATGCCACTCAGCTAAGTTAGCAAAAAATATAACTTAATGTTTATATCTTAAATATTAGCAAGCATAAAAAAAATAGTTAACTGGCAAAAAGAAGGCCAAAGGTGGGCAACAAAGTAGAGACAGGTACCTGGACAACGAGGAAATGAACTCTGGGGTCTCTGGTGCTCTCTGAGGTTGGTGATTTTCTTGCAGAACTTTCATTACCAAACTAGGTGATGCCAATGTCAGGGTTCCAAATAACACCCCCAACCAAGTAAAACTCCAAGGCAGACCATGTTATTAGAGATGTCATATTGGCACATCTGGGAAAAACCCGAATCTGAAAGTTCCTGGGTTTTCCCCACTCAAAAGAAGTCAAAGTCCCTTCCCCTGCACCCACATGTCCATCACGTGGTCCAATCAATCCAATTTGAGATGCCTCCCAGTCAAGCCTCTCCAGGTGTAGGCTGAATGTCCTTGACTCTCAGAGAAAAGAATGTTGTTATGGCTAAATAGCTCTACCAACTCCATGCAAACCCCCTCCCAGTTTCCAACAGCACTAAGTGTGGCAGCCCTGAAGATCCAAAGAAAAAGATGGCCTCCAGGGCTGACAGCCCTCAGCGCACCGTGCACAGTTCAACCCTGAACTGCAAATAGTCTCTTCTAAGAGATGAACCACAGGCATCTACATTATTTACATTGTCCCCATGTAAAAAGCTAGAGAGTTTCCCATAGGCACTGGAAACCATACTGTGGATAGTTAGTTTGGACTGTCACAGAGGGAATGGCCTTTGGATACTACAACCTGAACTCTTTTATGCATACTGCATAACATTGCAGTAGTCCTTGATTTACAACCACTCATTTAGTTACTATTTGAAATTACAGTTCTCACACAAATGTCTGTGGCAGCATTCCCATGGTCACATGATCAAAATTTAGGCACTTGGCAAATGGCATGCAGTGTCCTGGCTTTGTGTGATCATCATTTATGACCTTCCCAGTTGGTTTCCAACAAGCAAAGTCAACGGAGGGAGCCAGTTTCACTTAACAAATGTATGAGTCACTTAACAGTGGTTCACTTTAACCACCAGGGCAAAAAAAGGTTGTAAAACCAAGTGTGACCCACTAAATAAACGCCCTGCTTAGCAATGGAAATTCTGGTCCCACTTTTGGTTTTAAGCTGAGAATTTATAGAAAAGAGATAGCAGATGGGATGCCAAGTGTTCACTCCTTGATTCTGCGCCATGAAGGAATCAATTTGGTGGATGGGAATGACGTATCCAATGCTTTGATTGTTGTGCAGTTAATTCATGGTGTCAAACTAAGGCCTGTGGGCTGGATCTGGCCCGCGGAGTGCTTAAATCTGGCTTGCGGGGCCGGCCTGGAAATATCAAAGGATCGGCTTGTGGTGCCTCTGCCAGCCAAAACACAACCCTGATGCGGCCCTCAATGAAATTGAGTTTGACACCCCTGAATTAACTTGTTGGTTGCAGGTCTGCAGTGCTGCATTGCCTCCATTTTTCCTGCTTCTCTGCATCAATATTCAGTCTTTTAATGTGTTTTATTGTGTTAGGCTTTGGCACAGTAACAATAAGAAGTTCTAGCAATACCACCTTCTCTAACCAGTTGTCCTCAGCAAACCTCTGAGACATCTTATCATGCTTTACATACTGTTAATTCTTCCGTTGGGGAAAAGAGAGCGGCCAGTATTGAGATGTCCCCTGAAGTCCTCTTACATCCCTTTGAACTGCTTCTAGGACTGATGCTACTGTCATGCCACAGATATCTAAAGGGCAAACAGCCCAAGAAGGCATGAAATTCTAATCCCGGTGGAATACTCGCATGGATTACGTTGGATAATCCTTTGTAGGTAGTCAGGCAAATTATGTGCAACAATTTCCTTTATGGGAAAAGAATCAAGTACACTGGAAATAACGATGGAGCTTTTGCTCAGCCATATCAGCAGAGGAGGCTGCCAAAGTGGAAGACAACCCTGCTGAGGTTAGTCACAAAGAGCTGTTATTAAACCAGAGGTACTACAGTGAAAACTGAAGGAAATTCCAAGCAAAGCAGGTCGTTTTTCCACGAATGCACTATCTTATTTTAGAAACTGGCAAATGTGTTTCCATGATATTTATTCATTATGGTTGCGAGTGCCTGGTTTCGTTGTTGATTGAATTGGAAAGTCTGCCTGCCCTGCCCTTTGTCTCTTAGCTTCTGGTTTTTTTTCAGCCTCTGTCAGTCCTACAAGATAGACCAGATCAAGAGACCAATTCCATAAGAAGACCACAACTATACTTTATTGCAGGGTTGTCAAACTCAATTTCATTGAGGGCCGCGGTTGACCTCGGGGGGGCCGGCTGGGTGTGGCTGACTGGCTGGGCATGGCCAGTTTGATGCCACCCACTGGGCGTGGCCCACTGGGTGGGCGTGGCCAGCTTGATGCCACTTCCCAAACTGCTGGCGTGTTTCCTTTTTCATTGGGTAGACCAGGCCAAAGCCGTATTGGGTAGACCAGGCCGAAGTGACACGGGCCGGCTCCTTAAAATTTCCAGGACAGCCCCTTGGGCCAGATCTGGCCAGCAGGCTTTGAGTTTGACACCCCTCCTTTATTGAGATAGGCTACAATAACAGAACCTTCGTTTTGTATTTTATCGCAGCCTCGCCCTGCCCTGCTCCACAATGAGTCAGAGAGGAGCCAGCTTGAATCTCTTCAAGTCTGTTTTAACTTCCAGTCTTGTTCTGCCCCATCTACGGACCCCAAAGAACGCAGCACACACAAGGTCCGTACAAACCTTACTAATTAAAGACTACTAATGAGCTTTCTTAGTAGTTGTTCGAACACAAGTACAGTTTAAATCAGTCTTTTCTGAACAAGGGCTGTTAATTTAACTTCATTAACAGCCGACAAGAATCCAAAGAATAATAACTCAATTCTGAGGTACAGTATTTCAGAAAACCGCTAATCTACTTAAACAAAAATTAATTTCATCCTTTTCTTAGGGTTCAACGCATTGTTAGTGACCTCACACATCCACTTTATGGTCTATTTCTGTTGGTCTGGGGGGAGGTTTCAAAGTATTTCTAGCAGGACTACCAGATTCTGTAACAGCTTTGTTCCCAATGCCATCAGTCTGGTAAACTCGCAAGGTTCGTTTTTCTCACCTTGTACACGTTTACTAGACTGTGTAGTGTCTCTGTGTCATATAATATATGTGGGTATGTAGGTATATCAGTGGTGGGTTCTAACCAGCTTTACTACCGGTTCTCTTCGTGCACGCTTGATCGCTGCACACATACTCGCTTCCCTCGCATGCGCGCCAAAATTGTGCTCTGCGCAAGTGCGTTATGAATATGCCCAGCTGAGGTGTGGCAATTCACTTTGCTGCCCCTATCAGCTGGGCTAAAAATAAAGAAATATAAGGTAGGAATAACACAGGGGCGGGCGGGAGGGCCCAGCTCCCGGACAAAGAGAACCGGTTCGGTGACGTCATATCGTAACCGCTACCGGCTCGGCTGAACCGGGCCGAACCGGGAGGAACCCACGAGGTATATGCATATTTTTTGTCATGTTTATGTAGTGTATATTGGAGGTGGTGACCCTTTGAGAGCTGTATGCAATGAAATTTCATTTTAATGTATGCTGATCAGTATACATTAAAGTGACAATAAAGTTATTCTAAGTTCAAGATTATAGAAATTCCAGAAAACCTTGGGCTGGTTTAATAAACATCTGTTTCTGTTAACAATAACACCATGTTAGCTGCATCTGAATAGGTGCAGATATTTTAACATGTAGTGCCATTACTCTCTTTCTATCTCTTCCGTTCTTTTTAATAAACTGTACTTTTCAGTTATGATACCCATCAACTCTCTCTTACATCTATAAAGGTGTATTTGCATTCTTTGTTGAAAATTAAAGTGCATCTTTTTATTTTCCTTAGGCTCTGCATTAATGTATGGACAGCCAAGGTCATGAACTTTATGAGTCAATGATCTTCCTGATTTTTCATTAAGTAACTTATTAGGCCCCCCACTTAGCAACACTCTCACTTCCTCTTACAACAATCAAATTTTGGTTTGAAGTTGTTATTTTAGTATCTTCATCTCCAAACCTCATGAGATTCAATTTGAAGCCTTAATTCAAGATGCCTTTGCTAGACATTTTCTTTCCAGACCTTCTACCACCAAGACTTATAAAAAGCTGATAGTGGTGGAAGAACTCAAATCTTTTCATGAATTCTGCTTTCCACCCACTCTTTTTTTCTATAAATTGAAAGAATGGGTGAAAGCCTGAGTTCCCCAATTCTTGAATTTCCTTCCTCAATCTTCAAAGCCCATGATGATTATGGATGTAATGGCTCTTGACAATATTGTGAATAGGAAAGAATAATACTTTGTAATAGAAGTCAACAGAATAACAGAGTTGGAAGGAACCTTGGAGGTCTTCTAGTCCAACTCCCTGCTTAGGCAGGAAACCCTATACCAATGATCGTTAACCTTTTTGCCATTGCGTGCCAGGAAGGTGGGGCTGGGGGGGTCATGCGCATGTGTGCCCACACCCATAATTCTATGCACCCCGCCCCCATGCATGCGACCTCCCCGCTCCCCCTGCTCCTGGCTCACGATGGCCCAGTAAACCCGTTTTTCTCTCTCACCTGGCTCCAGAGCCTTTCTAGGAGTCTGTTGTGGATTTAATAAGACAAACACAACTTTTAGATTAATCAGAGACAATTTATATATTGCGCAATAGGTTCAAAGCTCTGTACATGAAGCGTTGAACAAAGACAGAAATTAGGTACAATGGTTTTATACCCTTCTAGACAAAGGATTCTGTTAACTCAGCAATTCATATGGTCATATACATTTGTCATTTTTAATTGACATTTCCTAATTACTGAGTTTCTTTGCAAAACAGTTATAATTCTTTTTGTAGATTACTGAAGCATAGACTCAAATCATCTTCTGACGATAGACAACTATTAACTCATGTGGATCCCCTTGACCTAACCAACCTTTAAGCTGTATGTCATTAGTATGTTCCTTTCTTCTGACAACTTAGAGGCCTCCTAGAGGAACCAAAAGGATTTTGGCTGAGTTTGTACTTTTTCCAACCGGATGCATTGCTTTTTAGAATAGAGTGAATAGAAAGTTATCCAGTGGTCATCTATCAGAGCCCGCTTCATTTACATTAAGTCTGGGGAGGGCAAAAATGGCCTTCTCCCCCCCCCCCCGAGGCCCTCCAGAGGCCAGAAAAGGCCCATTTGCCAATTTCCGGTGGGACCTGAAGGCCCATTTTTTGCTTTCCCCAGTCTCCAGAGCCTCTCTAGGAGTCTGGGGAGGGTGGAAACGGCCTCCCCCCTCCCCCGGAGGCCCTCTAGAGGCAGGAATCAGCCCATTTCCCTACTTCTGTGGTCCCAGAAGGCCCGAAAATCAGCCTGCTGGCGAGGGCATGTGTGCCGGAGCTGAGCTCGCATGCCCACTGATATGGCTATGCGTGCCACCTGTGGCACGCGTGCCATAGGTTCACCATCACGGCCCTATACCATTTCAGACAAATGGTTATCCAATCTCTTCTTAAAAACGTCCAGTGTTGGAGCATTTACAACTTCTGGAGGCAAGTTGTCCCATTGATTTATTGTTCTAACCATCAGGAAATTTCTCCTTAGTTCTAGGTTGCTTCTCTCCTTGATTAGCGATCAGTCCTAGATGTTTCTTTCATGTTTTTAATCAGTACTTGAGGCAAACAGCATATTTCAACAGCCAATGATTCTGGTTAGTACATGTTCATATCTTATGTGAGAGCAGGTATTCATATTGTTAAGTAAAGACACCTGAAGCCAAATATGGGAAATGAAGTCAGATCATCTTCATGGTAATTCAATAAGATGAGTTGTTCAGGCTGAGAAGTCAGTCCTAGGTTTATAGTTATGCAGAGCTGATCAGATTGGGTCAAAGTTTCATTGTTATGAACTGCAGAATGCACTCCATCCATTCCAAATCCAGCTCCCAAAGAGATCAGCAGTGATTCCTTCAGCCATGAGCTGCCACAGTAGATCCCAAATTAAAAAGCCTTGACTTTACTGCTTGTGTCAACATCTTCCACTATGTTATTGTAGATTTCATTGCTAATTGGAAATAAAAATAGCTCATAGGTAAAGTCGGCCCAGTTTGAAGACAAGATCAAAATGACTATCTTCCTCTCTTAATCGTTGATAGAAGCCAGTCGGTCTGATAATTAAATCTTATTTAATCCCAGCAAAACCTGAGAACAGCTGGCTGGTTTAAGGGACTCATTCACAGCACCTGCTGTCGATGGCAGCCTTGTCATTTGGACAGCCTGGGCTAAAGAAAATCTGTAGGTAGCAGATCTGAAATCTTCTCCCAAATTTGTGGAGAGGAAAAGGTTGGCTGGAAGCTTTCTTTGAATTTCTCCAGGGGAAGGAAGACATTTATCCAACTATTTCTCAAGGTTGACATTCTACCCCTACAATAGCTGGCCAAGACTGCAAGTTGTCTCCAATAGAAAACAAATTTAGCTGGCTGGTCTTCTGTAATCCTTCCATTGCTGAAGTTCTCAGTCATCCAGTTAGGAAGCCAGGAGCTCTCTTCCCTATCTGAAAAGCAAATGCATTCCTTCAAAAACAAGATATGAAATTGACTAAGCCATCAAGTCATTGTTGACTCCTATTGACAACATAGTTTTCTCTATGACAAACAGATACGAGACATAAAAATACAGTTTCTTTTAGGAAGAACCCAAGGAAATATTACATCTAACTCAATTGTTATATACCATACGTCAGAGATGGGGTGTTTTCCACCTGCTATGCACAATTTTTTTTTTCCCTGTTCCATATTTACTTGTGTTGTTCTAAAGCCATTCTAGAATGTCCATACTTTTATTTTGGGGAAAAAAAATCCCATAGGAGGAGCAACCTCCTGATTTCTTCTGTTAGAATTTAAGGAATGTGGGAAAAGCTGGTGAAAACCAAGAGAGAACTTTTCAGTGAAAACGAGGGCTCTTTAACAACTGAGGTAACTAAGTAAGGGTTGTACCACCAACACTGTATCAATCCCAACATTCCCTTCTCGTTTTGTAGAATTTCAAAAGCAAAGTTTCTTTCATTACACTGAAAACTAGTGAACAGGTTCTTCTCTAAATCAAGGAATAAATATATTTGTAGAAAAAAATGAGCAATGTGTAACTTGTTCAACCAGCTGTACCCTTGCACACAACCTTAAGAGTTGCCGTCACACATTCAAGTGAAAAAATCCTATTTATTAGTAAGATTAGATAGCCCTGTGGAAAAGATACGAAGGGTGACTTGTTCCCACATTGGTATATTTTAATACTAAGTTTAGTACCTAATAAAGGTTATGTGTTGAAGTTCACATTCTACGATATTAATTACCCATTACTCATTTCTCACATTCTGTATATGGTTGATGAATTTTATCTCTAACAAAATTCTATTTCTAACAGTTTAAGATTTTTTTTTTCTTTCTTTGTGGGAGTCTGATCGGTATCAATTTTTGGGGTTTTCACATTGGTTTCAAGATACGTTAGATAGTAATATCTCCATTTCCTGTGTTTCTTCTATTGTCATAGTAACTTTTATTTTTGATTTCTCATGGTCTTCTCAAAAGGTCCCACATAAAAGAAAGACAAGGTATTTATGGGCAATGTAGAAACCAACCAAGAAATATTTCCTCATTTATGTAGGCAACTAGGGAATGCCGAGTCAAAAGAACTGCTTCTACAAATTGGTATTGTGCATGTAACAAGATTTGGGAAGCCACAAAGTCTTTGAAAACATGTGGTTTTAGAGCATCTCTTATGAAGTTAGATTTAAACATTTATGTATGGGATAATGCAAAACGAAGGATTTCTGCAGACATTGCCTATTCATTTTTACGTGTGATTATATTCGCATCTCCATATACTTGGAAGTTACCTCTTAAAAATAGGAGTAGAAAATACAACTGATGATAAGAAAAAGCTTTTGTGGATCAGGCCAAATCTAATAGATCACACACACAGCACATAAATTGTGCAGGCTCAGTGTGTACTACAGATTTATTTAAACACATTGCAGTATTGCCATTACTGTACATTTAAAACAGAAAGCCCAATGTGTTTTTTGTAACAGAAGATCATTTACTTGTGAGAGCATCTCTATCAGCCTTGCATCTGCAATTGAGTGAGAATGGTAATTAGCAGCTTTGAAACCCCAAAACTTATGTAACCCCAAAAAAACTTGATTAAATCTTAAGTGAATAATGGGGCACAGAGGACTTCCAGAACAATATGGAATTGAACCCTGTCTCATTTAAACTTTTACTGCGACTTAAATATAAATTTAATTATGAAATGTAATTATGAAAAGAAGCAGTTTCCCTTACTTTTCATTTGTTTTTCTTCAGAATACCTTGGCCAAGGCTTTATATGACAACAAAGCTGAGTGTCCAGATGAGCTGGCCTTTCGCAAAGGAGACATTCTTGTAGTTCTTGAACAGAATCTCCTTGGGAGTGAAGGTTGGTGGAAATGTTCACTTCATGGGAAGCAGGGCTTGGCACCAGCCAATCGCCTCCAGCTTCTTACTTCATCACAGGTTCCTTCCATTGAACAAGATTTTCAAGAACTGCCAACCAACCCTTGGACTACCTACCAGGTTCCTTCAGTACATGGAACTGCTGCCCCATTAGCTGTCTATGAAAAAATGGATGGTTGGATTAATCCGCCTTCATCTTCATCTTCTACTTTATTGTCGCCAACACAAGAAGGATACCGAGGACCAGCTCTGGCTGCCAAGCTGCTCAGTGAAAAGACCGAGACTTCATCAAATCAGGTAAAGGTACATAAAGATAAAGGTAAAGATTCAGCTTGCACATATGTGTTAGTCGTTCCCGACTCTAGGGGGTGGTGCTCATCTCTGTTTCAAAGCCGAAGAGCCAGAGCTCTCCGAAAACGTCTCTGTGGTCATGTGGCCGGCATGACTAAACCCCAAAGGCACACGGAACGTTGTTACCTTCCCACCAAAGGTGGTCCCTATTTTTCTACTTGCATTTTTTATGTGCTTTCGAACTGCTAGGTTGGCAGAAGCTGGGACAAGTAACGGGAGCTCACCCCATTCTGCATCACTAGGGATTCGAACCACTGAACTGCCAACCTTTTGATCAACAAGCTCAGCATCTTAGTCACTGAGCCACTGCATCCCATAGGTGCATACTACTTGTCAAATGGAAAAATGTAATAAAGGTAGGAAGGAATAGATTAAATCTTCCTTTTACATCAATTCTCCAGCTGTTTCCCTTTTGTTTATAGGCATACACAAAGAAACAGATATTTATGTCTGTCTGCTTAGTTTAAAAACATTGAATTTTAACCCTCACTGTCCATGACGTTTGGAGGACTAAGGAGTTGTGATCCCACATATCCACAGGACACTGAGTTGAAGAAGGCTGTGTTAGATATATAAACAATGTACTTATACACAGAAATTGCAGTCCACTGATAGACCACTTCAGAATTTCCAATGAATCATTAATTTTGAACTACTTTACACAGAATTGGTGGGGTTTTCCGCCCCAAAAAATTAATGATAGTTGAATCAATTGTAGAAGTTAATAAAATGAGTGAATAAAGTTAAATAGAATGGATAATAATAAAACATAATTACTGATATAAATTTAATATACATTTAAATATAAATTTAGCTAGTTAAAGTTAATATAAATAGAATTAATAAATAGTGTTACATCAATAATATTTAACTTAGGGAGTTAGAAAAAAAAGCACAGAATTATGTAGCCTAATTTCTTTCAGATGTTTTGGAATATAATTTCCATAAACTCCATAGACTTTTGGGGCAATATAATGATATGAGAATTGCAATGAAAAATTACTTAAGAACACCAGAAAAACCAAAACCAAGAGTGAAAGAAATTGCCCTAACAATTTTTATTTTTATTATTTTATATATACTTTATTCATCAAACATGAAACTCAGTCAACTGAACATTCAAAAATGCATCACAAATTATTTTATACTACTACTACTACTACTACTACTACTACTACTACTATTATTATTATTATTATTATTATTATTATTATTATTTACTTAAATCACTATTGGAAGTAGAATGGCAAGCCAGGTGGCATTTTGGGGCTGATCTGATAAGATAAATCCATGATCTTAAGCACTTGATAAGGCTGATAAAATATGGTAATTATAACTAGTTCTACCAGTTCTGTGAAAGAAGTGATAAAAAAAAAAACCCCACCAAACTTTCAAATGTTAATCCTGTGAACGTAAAGTTTTCTCAGGCTACATCTGGTTTATGACTGCAGTTGTTTCCACAGAGAACAAATGTCCTGTGGCAATTCTTCACCACAACGCATATGCTTAAAAAACACATGTGATGAAATGCCCAGCTAGTGCAGGAATAGAAATAGAGCAGTAGGCTAGAATCACACAGTCAGCTGTAGTAGCATCAGCTGTTGCTGACAACCGGCCAGACTGCTATCCATCTTTTTTAGAGTCTAAAATGACATTTGGCATATGCTTCAATCCTTAGTGTTCCTTTGAAATTTCCTACTAAGTAGTAGATAATTCACAACACAGTGCTTCCCACCCACCCCCAAAAACCCCATTTACTTGAAAATTTTTCTGAGGGTAACAGTAACAGAGTTGAAGGGATGTTGGAGGTCATCTAGTCCAACCCCCTGCTCACGCAGGAGACCTGTACTAGGGATTCGAACCGCCGAAGTGTCAACCTTTCTGATCGACAAGTTCAGTGTCTTAGCCACTGAGCCACCTAGTCAGGGTACTAGGGTACCTAGTCAGCCACTTCTTTATAATTGAGCTATTAAAACACCTGTAAAATTAACATCTGTACATCTAATCTATTCTTCAGACCCTTGCTTGAAATGTTTGATATCTTCTTCATGCCTATTTTTGTATGCGATGAAAGAAGACTGAGTGCTAGTGTGTAACCTTTGCATTTATTTAAATCAGATTTCTTAGCCCAATCAAAATTTTAAGAAGCTGGAGTATCTGAGAATTATTCAAACTCTAGCTTTGAAGTCACTAGTATTTAATACCAAAGTGGTACAATAGTTAAGAGTACTAGAATAAGTTCAAGGAGATCTTGGTTTAAACCTCTGTTCATTCATGAAATAAATGATAGGCTACTCTTTCCTCAGTGTTGCAACTTTTATATCACTGATGCACAATCCAACACAATCTATTTTCTTGACAGTGTTCTCTTATCACTGCCTCTCCCATCTTCATCGTGATAGGGTTTTTTGGCTGATTATTGTGGTTTCCCTGCATTACTGAATTATATAGACATTGTTATCCTCAAAGAATGATAAGTTTCAGATCTGCAATATCTCCCCGCATTCAATTTTAACTTGGAATGGGGCAGAAGGAAGTGGATACTTAAAATCAAGAAATGTGTATTTGTCCTTCCTTTCCTTTTCTTTGTAATTAAAAAAAGTGACTAAAGATTCTTTTTTTTAAAAATAAATTTTATTAAGTTTTCCAGGTTAAAATCAACATGAGACAAAAACATTGATTATAGATAAAAACAAAAACCATACATTCCCCTCCCTCCCTCCCCCATTCATAACACTAAACATACAAACACGTCTATCCTGGCAGATAATATTCCTGCCCTCATTAATAAATAATTATGTCCACAACACAGAATAAAGTAAATAATCCCCAAATATGGTTTTCATACAATTATCTTTCAATCTAGATAAGTATATCTCTCCTCATATTGACTTAGGCCCTCACTTCATCTCAATCCTTTTATTCAACCACCGATACCAACTGTCCCAACTTTGAAAAAATTCAGAATCCTCTTTTTCTTTCAACATATACGTCATTCTGTCCGCCTCAGCGCACTCTAATACTTTATTTATAATTTGGGCACTAGCCGGTATCTCTTTTTCTTTCCACTGTTGGCGAACACTATTCTAGCTGCGACTAAAATATGTAGAGTGAGATACCATTTTTTCTTACTCAGCCCCTCTGGGCGAATACCTAGAAAATATATCTCAGCTTTCCATTGGAGGTCCACATTAGTAATTTCCTTAATCCAATTTCTAATCCTTCTCCAATACTTCTTTGCCATTATACAAGTCCACCATTGATGGAAATATGTACCTCTGGTTTTCCCACATTTCCAACATAACTCTGATGCACCCAGACACATTTTAGCAATTCTTGCTGGTGGGAGGTGCCACCTATACAACATTTTATATACATTTTCCTTGAAAGACGTTGCCGTAGTCATTTTAATATTTTCCCCCCACATTTGTTGCCCTTTTTCTAAAGGAATCGAGTACCCAAAATTCCTCCCCCAGGCAATCATAGTATCTTTTACAACCTCCTCTATCATTCTCTCAAGCAATTGTGCATACATTTTGGTTATGCATTTATGGTCCTCTCCCAATAATATTTTATGGAAACTCTGTTCCAGATTCTTTTTTTATGGATATCTAATTCTAATTCCCAGCTCCTGCCCACCTAGCAGTTCGAAAGCATGCAAATGCAAGTAGATAAATAGGTACCATTTCAGTGGGAAGGTAACAGTGTTCCCTGTGCCTCAGCATATAGTCATGCTAGCTACATGTCCACAAAAATTGTCTTTGGATAATGCTAGATCCCTTGAATAAGAAATAGAGATTTGTACCACATCTTAGAGTTGAAAACGACTGCACAAGGGATACCTTTACTTTTACTCACTTGGGAATTGTGTCTTTTACATTTTAAAACCTGTACTTCTATAGTTGCACAAGAAAGCATGGATTTACTGTTCTTTGGTCATGGAAAAGGGATATGAGCGGCTATAGGTTATTTATGTCACCTAGTTAAAGGAATAACTTTTCTCTGTGTGAATCTCTACACTACTAAAGATCATTTAAGAAATCTGATGTACAAGTAGACCTCAAGTTACATCAGTTCATTTAGTGACCATTCAAAATCACAACAGTATTGAAAAATGACAAGATTGTTTTTCACATTTACGACTAGTGGTGTAATTTGTTACTACCGGTTCTGTGGGCGTGGCTTGGTGGGGAGGGGTAATATGACTGGGTGGGCATGGCCAATTTTCTTTTTTTTTACTTTTAAAACCATTTTTTCTACAACCTCTTCAGTGAAGAGGTTGTAAAAAAATGCTTTCAAAAGGCTCTGACGATCCCAGCTGAGTTGCCTGATCGGCAGAGGCTCTTTTTCTTTTAAATGCCTCTGACAATCAGGCAACTCAGCTTGGATCGTCAGAGGCATTTAAAAGAAAAAAAGGGCTTTTTTCTTTTAAATGCCTCTGACGATCCAAGCTGAGCTGCGTGATCATCAGAGGCTTTTTTTTTACTTTTAATACCATTTTTTTGGCCAAAGAGGTTGTAGAAAAAATGCTTTTAAAAGTAAAAAAAAGCTCCTGATGATTGTGCAGCTCAGCTGGGCATGGGGGAGGGGCAGGGATTTTTGCTACCGGTTCTTTGAACCACCCACCTCCATTGCTACCGGATCAGGTGATCCGGTCCGAACTGGGAGCATTTCATCCCTGTTTACGACCATTGCAGCATCCCCATGGTCACATGATCAAAATTCAGATGCTTGGCAACTGACTCGTATTTATGTCTGTTGCAGCATCCTGGGGTCATATGATCTCCTTTTGCGACCTTCTGATAAGCAAAATCAATGGTGAAGCCACATTCACTTAACGTCCCACTTACTAATTTAACAACTACAGTGATTCACTTGACATCTGTGGCAAGAAAGTTGATAAAACAGAGCAAAACTCATTTAATAACTGTCTCACTTAGCAACAGAAATTCTGGGCTGAATTGTGGTCAAAAATTGATAAAATTGATCCATTAGCCATCCTTTTAAAATACTCCAACACATCATTTTGTAAAGGACTTTAATTGTTGATCATTTGAACTTTAACAAAGTTTAAATTGATTTTATGTTTTTGTTCTAAACAGCTAGCAAACTTTAGCCATCAATAACAAACCTAATTGTAAAAAAAAAAAAAAATTCAGGTTTATCCACGGATCAGCCAAATACTTAGATAAAATGAAAAAGCATAAATTTTTGGTTACCTTTTCACTAGATTGAATTCTCTAATTTACACACTATTCAATAATCACAAAGGACATTTTGCTTCTTTTGTGTGACCTTAATTTCATCCACCAGCAATTAAGAGGTTAGTTTTAAAAAAACTAGTAATTTCCTGAGCAAACAACAAACTCTTTTCAAGGTTAATAACTGTCTGTAGGAGAAGCGCCTTTTTATTAAATGGTTAACAAATACCGATGCAGCATCAACTTGAAAGAACTGCAGCTCGTAAAATGTTCACAGGTAATATCAGTGTCATTTTGATTTCATCATTTCCCCCTTCTTCTCCCAAGCACCTCTTCACTCTTCCGAGAGCAATTTGGGCATCAGCTCCAGAGAAAAGAAACGACGTCTATGACATTCCAACATCCCAGCATCCTGGATCCCTGTTGACTCAGGTGGGCATGATGGTGGGCGTGGCAAGCGGATAGTTGAGAATAGTTGCCATCATTGCTTGATTGGCAAGGTTGTATTAAAGTCACTTATCAGAAAAGAAAATGGAGGAAATCTGAAAAATTGGGTAGCTTTTTTTAAAAAATAATCTTTATTTACATTTTACCATTAAAAACAAAAAGAGAACGACACATTATATAAATAACAAACAAAACATACAAAACAACACAACAAAAACCAACAAAACTAGCATACCTATAAGCAGTACCTTAATAACCTAGTACTCGGTACTGTATATCTATATTATAATCCGGAGAAGACAGAACATCTTACATATCTTTATAAAACAATTAGGTCTATCTGACCTCACTTTACTTGTATAATATAAGTTTCTCAGTACATATAGTTCCTCTTCTAATTTGGGTTATATTTTCCTTTTCTCTAGCCACCTATAGAATTTTTCCCAAGATAAACATACTTGTGTTTGATCTCTATCTTGTAATTTTTTGGTCAATTTATCTGCTTCCGCACAGTCTAAAATCTTTTTTATAATAGCTTCCTCTGATGGGATACTTTGATTTTTCCAAAGTTGAGCATACGCCAATCTCGCTGCTGTGATAATATGTAATGCAAGATACCATACATCTCTTTTAATACCTTCTGATTTGGAGCCGAGCAGGTAGATTTGGGTAGATTTAGATTTATTTTATAACTTGGATGGGCAATCTCTTTTGAGCTCAGCATGTCAAAAATCCGGAAAATTCCTAACTTGACTCTGCTGGCATGTTGGGTCTCATTCCCTCTCACACACACATACACACACCACCTACAAAAGAAAAACAATTCTCTATCTTTCCCCCGTAGGCTACCAGGAACAGTGGCACTTGGTAGCATTGCTAAGGCTGGGCCTGAAGTAGAGGCCCCAGGCTTTCACTTCAGCCCTAGCATTATTCATCTTTTTTTAATGATCCCATAATCCCTTGTGGGTTGGAGTCTGGGCAATTGAATGAACTGAGTGTTTACTGGCCGGATGCCCTTCCTGTTGCCAATATGGAGTTTTTTTCAGCAGATACATTCTCATTGTGCCCAGAGAGAGAAATATCTGCCTCTGGCTAGGATTGAAGTCACAGCCTCCTGATTGTGAGCCGAAAGCTCCATCTCTAGGCCACCGCACCACTTCAGCCCTAGCATTATTGCTGCCACTAAAAAGGCTGCCTTACACCATCCTCACTGGCTCAAGGTTGACTCAGCCTTCCATCTTTCTGAGATCGGGAAAATGAGGACCCAGATTATTGGGAGAAATATGCTGATTCTGTAAACCAATTAGAGAGGGCTGTAAAGCACTGTATATAAGTCTATGTGCTATTGCTATTCCCCAAGGTGTGCCAGCCTGTTCCTTGCTTACCACTTCAGTCTGAACTATTTTTGCTCAATACTGCTGAAACTCTTAGATGAGAATCATGAAATCAAACCTTATTGTGTAATTGTTTCCTGTGTTTGTAGGTTGCTACTTCAACCTTATTTTTACTGGAATATAACCTTTCTAAATTGTGTAAGCCAGGGGTGGGTTCTACTTACCTTTACTACCGGTTCACAATGGGAGCGTGCACTCATGCTTCTGCACATGCATAGATCACCCTTAATGACGTCAGGGCGGGTGGGCGGAGTCTCCCATCGGTTTTACTACCGGTTCTATAGAACCGGACAGAACCAGGAGCAACCCACCACTGGTGTAAGCATATCTAGCACTGTTCCATAGCAAGTACAAGGAAATATCACTACAGAATTCAACAAACTGCTGCCTTTATAACAATTTACAGCCTCCTGGCTCTCTACAACATCTGACACATATTATGAACAAGTAGCCTGATCAATCCATCAACCAGAATAGAATTAGAAGGGACTTGGGGTCTTCTAGTCCAGGGGTGTCAAGCTGGCGGCCCATGGGCCGGATGCGTCAAGGGGAGGCCACGCCCACCACAGCTCCACGAAGGGGAAAAACATCCCGAAACATCACGTGACGGCAACGTGACGTGGCAAGTTTGACATGTTCTAGTCCAGGGGTCGGCAACCTTAAACAGCCACAACCTCAAAGAGCCACAAAGGTCCTAACCGAAAGTCACCCATTCAATTCTGGAGCCGACTCGAAGTCTAGTTCCCCCACCATAGAGTCTCCTCCTAGTGTGGCATCCTTTTTCTTCTACCTGCCCTAACCAAAAGCCCTATCAATTGTGGAGCCAACCAGCGACAGGGAGCTGCAGCAGAGGGATGAAAGAGCCACATGCGACTCCAAAGCTGCAGGTTGCTCACCCCTTTTCTAGTCCAACCCCCTGTTCAAGCATATGACCCTATATCATTTCAGATAGGTGGCTGTCCAGCCATTTCTTAAAAACCTCCACCTGATGAAGCACCTACAACTTCTGAAGGCAAGCTATTCCACTGATTAATTGTCCTCACTGTTAGGAAGTTTCTCCTTAATACCAGGTTGCTTCTCTCCTTGATTAGTTTCCATCCATTGTTTCTTCTCTTGCCTTCTGATGCTTTGGAAAATAAGTTGCCCCCTCTCTCTTCAATACTGGATTACGGATATCATGTCACCCCTAGTCATTTTTTTCTCTAGACTGGCCATACCCAATTCCTGCTTCCATTTTCGTATGTTTTGATCATGTATACTCTATTCATGACAACCTGTGACATCTTTGGTGCTGTAACATATGAACATGTTACATTTGCACTAATTTTGGACAAGCTTCTTAAAGTTGTGTATTTTGTTTTTAGAGTTTGAATGTGTCTTTTGTAACACTTCACTTACAAAATCTGTTTGGGTTCCTCAAGGTTCATTTTTTGTTTTGTTTTATTTTAAGATATTCTGCCATCTAGTGCCCATATTCTTTCAGTGCATTAGTAGCCTTCTCCAGCCTGTATTCTGGATGGAGATGAGGCAGGTGCAGCTCATGTACTGTATCTAGACGAGACAAAGAGAAGATGGTCATATACTAAGCTATGCAAGCCTCAGGGCTCTTTCCTTAAGATGTGCTTAGACCTCTATTTAGTTTTTTCTCTGGGTATCTTTGTATGTTAGCACATTTATGTTTAGTTCCAAAAGGATGAACATTGAAGAACTTGAAATATGCCAGTCCACAATTGGACATGCATATCTGAATTCAGACTCTTTGGTACACATTCTTTAAGTTAGGAATGGGAAAACTTTTAATCTCCTAAAGATTAAACATGTTATTTTGCTGAAATGTACTGTACTAAGAGCTGGATTTTGCTTGACGTTAGAACCAAGATGCTTCACAACGATGCTTTTCACACAACTCCAGAGTGGTTCACTAAACTACAAAACCCACCACCCACCCACCATGGAATGTGAAGTACAGTATAACGAGATTATTGAGCCAATTCACCTCCTGCCAATCTTGCAGGCTAACATTTCACAGTGCTGTTTATTTCTCATTCTAAATTTTAAGCAACACTGGACTAAATCTTCTTTTAACCTTCTAAGCTTCAGTTTAGCAGTCCCTAATAAGCCAGTTCCAGGCTTAAGTGGTATCTAGGGCAGTAGCCTCTGGTTAGTTCCTCTATGCCAGTCTTTCCACTCTGAATGTATTCGGTGACAGTGGTTTCCATTTTAGGTTTCCATAGTGACCCAAAGCGATATAGTTAAGTGAAATGGAAATAAAATAATGCCACAATTGTTTGGCCCTTACTTGAGTTCTGACCTCCACTGTTGTCCTATGTTACTGCCTGGTGAACTTCAACTTCATACTTTGATTGCTAAATCCTGTTCCAACTTAACTTGCTTGGAAAAGTCCCACATAGTGACCAAAGGATCATCTTTCCTCACTTGATACTTTCAACTCTTGCACATCTATCAACTCTGATTGATAGATGTGCAAACTCACCCATCAAGAAGAGGTCAGGCTGGAGAAAGCTGTTGTAGGTGTCATAGATATCCATGCTCTCATTCCAACATTCATCTAAGAATGCAAAAGAGAGCCAAATCAAAGAAACTCTGTATAAGTTGTTTATCAGCTAAAGGAAACATATAAATGAATGGCTAGTGGTAACAGATTTTTTTTATGTTGAACTCTTTCATTAGGATCTTGCCACTCCACCATCTTCTAGAAAGGACTCCAGAACATTTCCTTTCATGGAATGGTGCCCAGAAAAGGTGCAGCAACTTTATGATATCCCATCAAACCCTGAAAAGCCAAGATCTTGCCCATGGCAAGACTGTGCAGTGGAAGATGTAAGTTTGATCATACTTAAACAAATATGTTGTTCTGAATCATAGAGATATGTGAAGCTCTGTTAATTGTTCAAGAGGCATACCATGGCATCTATGGGGAACTCAGATCTATATAGTGAGTATAGCTCTTGAATTTAAGAAGGGCTAGGATTTGGAGTAGGAGCAAGCAGTTAAAATCTGAACTGCAAAAACTGGGTGTAAGCTTAGATTTATATCAAGCCTGGGAAGCAGTGGTGGAATTCAAATTTTTTTACTACCGGGATGGGTGTGGTTTGGCGGGCATGGCATGACTTGGTGGGCATGGCTTGGTGGGTGTGGCAGGGGAAGGATACTGTAAAATCTCCATTCCCTCCCCACTCCAGGGGGAAGGATACTGTAAAATCTCCATTCCCTCCACACTCCAGGGGAAGGATACTGTAAAATCTCAATTTCCCCTCGATCAGCTGGGACTCGGGAGGCAGAGAATAGATGGGGGCGGGGCCAGTCAGAGATGGTATTTACCGGTTCTCCGAACTACTCAAAATTTCCACTACCAGTTCTCCAGAACTGGTCAGAACCTGATGAATACCAACTCTACTGGGAAGTCTAAATGCTTCCTAGTGCCCGTTAACACAGGATTGACTGTAAGTGTAACATCAATAACACAAAGAATAAAAAAAGCTGTTTTTCTCAAAACAAAACTTGAAGTCTCCTCTCTTCTTAAAGACAAGCAAACACATTATGGCATATGGACTTTCTCTGGACTTTGGACTCTTCCAGGAAGTGATGCAGACCCGATTAACTAAACTCCGTACTGATCATATAAGCTCACAACTGAGTGTTTAACATTCTACAATTTTAATCATAATCATAGGTTTATTTGTCAAGCATATATAAGATAACAGATAAAAGTATAAACATAATTTGAATACATGAAAAGAGTAAGTAAAAAGGAATATTAGGACAGGGACGGTAGGCACGCTGGTGCACTTATGCGTGCCCCTTGTTAAGGATATTCTTGGCTCATAACCGATGTTGTGGGTTATTGAGCAGAGTACCCTTTGAGTAAACGCATGAAAAGCGACTGGGAGTGGTTGTGAACAATCACAGTTAACATACAAACATACTGAGTTGTTGTAGTCTTTTACTTTTAGAAAAAAGTAAAACAAAGTCCAAAAATAATCCAAGTCATGCACGGATAAGATGAGAGTTAAAAGATCAATACAGGGATATTTCAAGTACAAAGTCTTCTTACCAATTGTAGTCATACACAATATAACAGTTCTTCTTGAGTTTCAAAACAGGAACAAGTTCAATATACAATAAATAGTAGAAAGCAACATGTAGCTATGATCAAACAGTGATCATGCAGAGAGATCAGGTAGAGAGTTACAGCAAATAAGCAGGTAAAATGGTGCAGTATCCACACAAGCCATGATCCTGACTTCCCTCAAATACATTGGCTACAGAGCTTAGCCAATCAGGATACAGGATGATGCAATACAGTTTTAAAGCTATATAATACCTTTCTGACTGCAAACATACATTTTTGGTTTATATATTGCCTGACCAACAAATAACCATTTCCTAACACCCCTTATAGACCTCTTAGGAATGGGGTGAGGTCAACAGTAGACAGTCTAAGGTTAAAGTTTGGGGAGTTTGGGGAAGAAACTACGGAGTCAAGTAGTGCATTCCAGGCATTGACCACTCTGTTACTGAAGTCATATTTTCTGCAATCGAGTTTGGAGTGGTTTACCTTGAGTTTGTATCTATTATTTGCTCGTGTGTTGTTGTCGTTGAAGCTGAAGTAGTCGTTGACAGGAAGGACATTGTGGCATATAGTTTTATGTATTATGCTTAGATCAGACTGAAGTCAGTGTAGTTCTAAATTGTCTAAGCCCAAAATTTGGAATCTGGTGGCATAAGGTATTTTATTGCGGTTAGAGGAATGGAGAACTCTTCTTGTAAAATATCTCGGGACTCTCTCAATTGTATTTATGTCCGATATGCAGTGCGGGTTCAAATCTTCAACAAGGAACATTGTTTCCTGCAAGAGTGAAAATCTTAAAATCCACTGAAGTTTGTGATGGGGATACTTGTGATAGAGATACTAAGGGGATACTTGAACAAGCAATCTGATCCTGTAATGCTGAAGTAATAAAAAGCCATCACCCAGAATAGGCCAATCTGAACACAACGGAGTAATGTTGCTATGTAGAAACAATCCATCGTGGCTACTTCTTAAGATGGGTATGTTGAGGTGCAAAACTGAGAGGTGAAGAGAATGAGTCATTTACTTGCTAATAGCTCAGCAATGATTGGTTGGCACTTCTCTATCTTCAGCTGTTGACCAGAAACAGCAAAAGATACCTATTTGTTTTCTGTGAGCAGGATGGATCTGGAAAAGGTCAAAATCCTGACCATAATTTTAGGTAGAATCACAGGGGATAGGTTACAGAAACCTTGGTAGTCAGGAGGTTGTCAGCCCCGGAGGCCATCTTTTCTCTTGGATCTTCAGGGCTGCTACACTTAGTGCTGTGAGAAAGTGGGAGCGGGGTTTGTATGGAGTTTAGCCATAACAATGTTCTTTTCTCTGAGAGTCAAGGACATTCAGCCTGCACCTGGAGTGGTGTGACTGGGAGTATATATATACAGTATATATATATACTGTATTTTTCGGAGTATAAGATGCACCTTTCCCCCCCTAAAAGAGGGTAAAAATTTAGGTGCGTCTTATACACCAAATGTAGCCCCGACCACCCATTGGCCCCCACCCTTTGGCCTCTGCCTCCCAGCAGTTATGTCCTTGCAGCAAACAGCAAGAAGAAATAGCTCCTTTCAGCTCCAGCACAGCCTAATTAGCACAAGTTGATTGGATCGGCCTCCCGATTCTCAGCTGTTTTGCTCTCAGCTGTTTTGCGACAGCCTCTGCTACTTGCTGCAAGGATGTAAACTGGAGCAGATTTTTTTTTTCTTGTGCTAATCAAGCTATGCTGAAAACGAAAATGAAAGTAAAGCAGGCTGTTTGCTGTTTGCTGCAACAAGGCAAAATTGCTGGGAGGCAGATTTCTTTTTCTTGTTTTCCTCACCAAAAAAGGTAGGGGCATCTTATAGTCCGGTGCGTCTTATACTCTGAAAAATACAATATATATATGTGTGTGTGTGTATGTGTGTGTGTGTGTGTGTGAATATATATGAATATAAATATTAGAGAAGAAGAGAACAGAAATGAAGAAGGAGATTAATTATAGAAATAATCTAAAAAAAATTGTTCTCCTCTCCAGGTGTATGTCATCCCCACACTGTCAACTAAACCCATTTCTAATTCTGCAGAAAAGCATTACAAAACGTTACCAAACCTTTGGAAATCAGAATGGATCTATGATGTACCTGTGGCACCAGACAAAGCAAAATTAATGCAAACTTCTCAGAATCATTCCCCACAGAATGATTCCCCACATGCACTTTATGATATACCACCAAGCAGGTTCAATTCTAATACCCCAAAAATATCTCCAATAAATAATAAAGGAAAATCAATAGATCCGAAATCATATAATATTCCACCTGTACATAGGAAATTAACTTGCCCGGAGCTTCCTCTTTATGATGTACCATCCACCCGCGATACATTTGTGCAGCGTCCAGCCAGCAATTATGATGTTCCTTCCAAAGTTTTGTCTACCAGGATTGAAAAGGAGAGCCAGAAATTGACTCATTATGATATTCCAAAAGGAACACCTGTTGCTTTGACGCCACAGAAAGAAAATAATTATAATTCGGGAGATAACCCATACATCATCCCTATGCCATCATCCACAGAATGCAATGTGGACCAAGATAGATTGTCTGTTTCAAGTGAAAATAGCAGGACCAGCACCATCTCCACATTGTCAAGTTCTTCTACCGAGTCCTTTTCGTCTTCAATTTCATCAGCGTTTTCAGAAGAACACATAAAAGAGACAACTATGGAGCTTGAGTTGGCTATAGACACCCTGACTAAACTACAGCATGGCGTGTCCAGTTCCGTTGCAAGTCTAATGATTTTTGTGAGCAGTAAGTGGCGATACCCAGAATATTTAGAAGGAAACATTGAGGAAATCCACCGAGCAATCGATCACATAAAGGTGTCTTTGGGAGAGTTTTTGAAATTTGCTCAAACTATTGAAAGAAATGCAGTTTTGGGATCAGACAATAAACTTCAGGAAAGAATTAAAAAACAGCTGAATGTTCTCTCAGATTCCTTTCAGATTCTGGTACAAACCAGAGATGCTTTAAACAAATGCAAGTGGACACTTGAGATTCTAGCTATTAAGAAACCTCAGAGTAACCCAGATTATCTGGATCAGTTTGTTATGGTGGCTCGTACCCTTCCTGATGACATTAAAAGATTTTCATCTATTATTATAGCTAATGGGAAGCTACTTTTCAAAAAGAGCTGCAAAGATAAAAATAGCAAGGATTCTAAAGCTGGCGTAGAGCTTAAAATGAAGAAATTTGGTCATGAAAAGCCAGGAGAAAATAATTCTGTTCTAATCAGTAGTTTGGACAAAGCAAAAGAAAACAATCTCTATTCACCTGTTTCTGTCCCTGAAGACTGCTCTACTCATCTACAGGTTGGTGTGGTTGGAATTACTGTACAAATGACAACATTTTAAAGTGATTAATATGTGGCCGAGACCCAGTTTGGTGTAGAGGTTAAGGCCACTAGACTAGAAACTGAGAGACCATGAGTTCTAGTCCTGCCTTAGGCACAAAGACAGCTGGGTGACCTTGGGCCTGTCACTTTCTCTGAGCCCCTGGAAGGAGGAAATAGTAGGCCACTTCTGAAAACCTTGCCAAGAAAAATGCAAGGACTTGTCCAGACATTTGGCAGGAGTCAGTATTAACTTTAAGGTACAAAAAAAAAAAACATGTGACTGAAACCACACACCTGCAATGGCTAGGGATGGAGTAATGCAATGGGATAGATAATGGGAACTGGTTGAGTGCCCAGGACAGTATTGGTGAACCTTTTTGGCACAGAGTGCTGAAATAGGGGGAGTGCCGGATCCAGAAGAGCAGCCATCCAGTGCTCATGTGCATGCCGGGAAGATGACCTTCCGGTTTCCGGCGCTCGCATGCGCACCGGCCTCCTGGTCTTCCGGTTTCTGGCATACATGCACGTGTGAAGACCAGCTGGCTGGTGCACATGCGCGCACAGGAAACTGGAAGATCATCTTCCCAGTGCGCATCTTCCAGTTTCTGGCGCTCCCATGTATGTGTGGCCAGTGTGCCGGAACCCGGAAGAGCAACGGGCGACGGCTCATGTGCCTGGAGGGATGGCTCTGCGTGCCCCTTCTGGCATGTGTGCCATAGGTTCGCCATCACGGGCCTAGGACAATTATAGATTGCTTATTTGCCTGCAGCTCTGCTATGTATTCTGAGACTGTGAAAGTATTCAGTTAGAGCATGGCCACACTAATAGTCTGGAAGACCAATAAATCGTTCAGGAAAACTTACTGTATAGCTGAGCTTTACAGCTGATTTTTACCAGTGTGTCCTCAGCTGCATTAGTACATGGATTGTTTACGGATTCAATTCAACATGATGATTTTGTCTCTTCTAAAGCATTTCCTGGCTTAAGACCATGCAAGTTCACCAACAGTTGCACAAATACCTCACTGGGAACATAATCTCAGAGACGCAATAGTATCAGTGACTGAGATGAATGTTGCCTATGCTCTTTGAGGTGTCCTGAAAAGAAATTGCAATGGGACCCAGAGTAGCATTGACAGCGTTTCTTTTCCCAGAGTTCCAAGGGTCCTTTGGGAATGGAAAAGCCAATCTGGGGATGATGAAGTTGAGTAGTTGGGAAACCCAGCCTAAGTAATAACATAAATTTTCTTAGGGTCACTTCTTTGTTGACAGAGAATTTTGTCAATCTTAGATGCTCAGAAAATTTCAGGGTTTTTTCGCTAAAAACTGTTGAGGTTCTTGAGAAGAAACCATGGTAATTAAGAATTTTCCTGACCAATTTTAGGAATGGAAGTAGGCAGCATTTCCAATGTTTTGGAAGCAAAATGTTGGATCATATAACCCATAATCTTTATCTGTTTAAGGATGACCACCCTTTAATTTTTTTGAGTATTATAGCTGCCTTCCCTTTTGCAGAAACCATTACAAATGGAACAAACACAGCCAACGTCTAAGACAAAGAAGCATGAAGAATTTAAATTAAAGGTAAAATACACTGTAACATTGAAATTATTAGAATTTAATCATTACCTAAAATTTGGAAATTAGATTTTTGTGATGAAAAAACATATTAGCTGCCTGCCTGTGTATTCATAATTTGTATTAAGAATTTTTCATTGAACTCACTGGTACTTACATCTGAATAGGCACTTTACAGGATTATGTTCTGTCATTTGGCCCTTGCTGATTTGGGAAAAGAAGATTTAAAAACATGGAAAATCTTTTAAATCCACCACAGTCATCTGGGACAATGACTGATTGCTTTATACATTCAACTATAGTGTGGTTACTATCTGAATTCAACCACATAGAAGCTGCTTCATGTAGCAAGCATTTGACATGCTGTTGTTTGTAATGTAATGACGACCGGGCAGGTGGGTGGAGCCTCGCGCCACCATCGCTACTGGTTCTCCGAACCACCAGCCGCCATCACTACCGGTTTGGACAAACCGGTCCAAACCAGGAACATTTCACCTCTGCTGTATCCCACTTTGGAATTCCTGAGTTCCAGTGGAAAAACTTGGACATATCCAAGCAAAATTTGCCACAGTTTTGTCTGTTTCTCCCTTTCTGTTTGCAAGATCAGTCAGGCTTTCCAGTTCTTTCCTCTTCCATTTCAAGTGACATGGGAGAGTGAATAGGGGAGATTGCTTCAAGAGCGCTGAATTGGAGCCAGTGTAGAAATACCCTTACAAGGAATCCCAATTCAAAAGTCTACATGTTGTAGAGAATGTTATCATACACACACACACACAAACAAACAAACAAACAAACAACTTCATCCGGGGCTTCTGGTAGCTAAAAATAAGATTTTCACCAAGTTCTTTTTTTATTGAGATTTATTGAGAAAGGGATACCATTACAGAAATTCCAACAACTGGATTAGTTTAATGTTAGAACTTAAATTTCTCTTTCATCTTGCTAGTGCAGAGTCTTCTTCGGTTTCTTTCACTCATACCTTCCCTGTATCAGCAGGCTGTTGACCCATTTCCCAGATGACACAGGCACCTTTCCCAGCCATCTCTTGAATCCTTATCAGGCTGGGAACAGATCATTTCAAATGTAGCCAAATGATAGTTAAAGATGGTGAGAAAAGTCCCTGGCTGACTTAAGAAGTATGGGAAGCCACACACACACACCGCTAGAAGAATGAAATATTTTGAGGAATACTAAAAAAGGCAGATTATTATACTTCCCAAAGGGAGAAATGGAGAAACATGTTTTTTTAGAGGCAGAAAGCAGCCCCCACTTTCCTTAGTAGCCCATAGCAAACGTCAACATTTAAGAGATAAAGAGCTTATTGAAAGATGACAACTATCTAGATAGCTCTATTCATAAGCAAATACCCTCACCCAAGAGCCAAAACAGGATGAAAGCCATTAAGCCACAATAGGAATTATCCAACACCCTTTCAGAACACAAGCCCCTTCATTGCATCACCCTCAGAGCAGTCCAAAGTTCAATCAAACTTAGCTCAGACAAACACCTAGGATTTGTATTTTGCCTATAGAGCAGGGATGTCAAACTCGCATCGTCACAGCATCGGCATGTGACATATCGGGACTTTTTTCCCCTTTGCTAAACCAGGCATGGGTGTGGTCTGTGCGTGACGCATCTGGCCTGCGGGCTGCGAGTTTGACAGCCCGCTATAGAGTCAGTTATGACCCCTATATAACCCATACGTAGTTTGACGACAGCCAATAGAATACATGTTCTTGCACAGAAACAGGAAGTTCAAGTGAAAAGCCCAAAAGAAGGTATAAAAGCCACCCATTCTCAACTCCATTTTGTCACCTGCCCAGAACCCCAAACCCATGTGGTTCTGCTTCATCAATAAATGGGCCCTCTTTCCAATTACCCTTCTGCCTCCATTTTGTCTCTGGTGCCTGGATTTTTCTTCCCACACAAGCAAGGGACAGTTCCTTGACATTTTGGAGACCTGCTGCCAACACACTGGGCTAGTTGGACAAATAGCCTTATCACTAAGACATTTTTCTACCTTCTTAATTGCAGTATTTCCATGTACTTCATATTTCTGATGAGAGGAAGCAATTTAAACAGCCTTTCTCATCTTGATGCCCTTATACTAGAGCAGGGTGTCAAATTCAAGGCCTGGGGGCCGGATTTGGCCCGTGAGGTGGTTAGATCTGGCCAGAGGGGCTGCCCTGGAAACAGCGAAAGAACGGCCTATGGTGCCTCTGCCAGCAAAAACTGAGCTCACAAGGGCTGTGTTTGGCCCTCCCGGGCTCTATTTTCACTGGCAGAGTGTTGCAGGAGGCTGTCCCAGCTGAGAAACGGAGCTCTGGATCCCATTTTCGCTGGCAGAGCACTCAGGCCATCAAAGGCACACTCCACATGAGTGACGTCGAGCTGGCCATGCCCACCCCGGCCCCCCGAGGTCAAACACAACCCTGATGGGCTCTCAATGAAATTGAGTTTGACACCCCTGTACTAGAGTAAAAGATCTCCCTACAGCCAGCACAACCACTGATAGGATTTCCAGGACAAGCTACACAATATTTATAGTAGGAATTCTCAACGTTTTTCTTCTTTGCATTTTCTCTCTAGAGTTCTCCACCTATAATGAAAGAAAGGACTCTCAGCAAACAAGATCCAGATAACAGAATGATACTCTCCAGCCTCTCCAGACTGTATTTTGGAGCTGTCCAGAAAGCCATTGGTGTTTTCCACAAAACTCTTAGTGATAACCGGACTCCTGAAATCTTCATTGCCAAGAGCAAGCTGATCATTATGATAGGCCAAAAGTTGGTGGACACCTTGTGTCAGGAAGCCCTTGAAAAAACTAACCGGAATGATGTCTTGCGTGGCAGCAGCACATTTTGTGGCTTGCTGAAAAGCCTGGCAATTGCAACCAAAAATGCCGCAATGAAATATCCAAATCCTGAGGCAGTTAAAGACCTTCAGGATCAAGCCGATGAATTATCTCAATTCACACAGCAATTTCGAGATACGATGGAATGAAGGAATACTGGAACAGTTCAAAAGGCAAATTTAGATGTTAGTGCTTGGACGGGGTAAAGTACACCCATGTGGGGGTGGGGATGTATGTCGACTCCCCTCTCTGTGTCTCTTAATACAACTCCAGGCAATGCTGAGCGAGAGGCCTCCAAGAGTGTCTTCTCTCAAATGTTTAAGCATGATTAAATTCTTCCCGTTGTCAAAAATCCGGATATAAAGACTTTCCGAGCAGAAGCTTTTCTTTGTATCACCTTGACATTTATCCTGAACATCTGTACAGACATCAGCCTTGATCATAGGTAGCTTGGGGTCAAGGTTCAGTTTATACAACTCCATTTAAATTGTGTGTTCTGTTGAGGCAAAATGTTTCATTAAGACTCTAAGCGTGTGTTGTGACCCAGGCCCAAATAGTTAGTATTAAATACAAACAGTTCGAAAACAAACAGACTTCATTAGAAAAGCTGAGAATTAACTCAGCTGTTAACTCAGAATTAACTCATTCTCAGCTGAGAATTAACTCATTCTCAGCGTAGTCCAAACTAAATTAAAGCAAATTCTTCAAAACACCATTCCTCAATTTATCACCGACCTTGGGATAATTAGGCAAGCTGCCAAAGGCTTTTCTTGGCAAAAGTTCAGAAGCAGAACTTCAGAAGCAGAAGCCGACAAGAAATGAATACAGTGAAACAAGAAGCAATTCTCTCAACGTTGTTTTCCGGCAAAGAGGCCAAGAGCCATTGCTGGTCTTTTAAGCCCTATGGGAGAGGCCAATCATCTCTTGCCCTACTCCCGAGTCGTCCTCTCTGCTTTATCTGCTCCTGTCTTCTGGCAGCTCTTCTCATACGTGCACTAGGAACAAGCTCCTCCTGTTCCTCTGCCTCTCTACTGTCAGCCTCTGGAAGCTCCGAAGTCCGAACATCACTCCCCGGTGGCCGCACATCACTCTGACGCAGAGCCCTCATCTGGGCCTTCCCCAGCCTCCAGGACTGGCCCCTGTTCTTCCTCAGCCTCATCGCTGTCTGACTCTACTGCCAGCTCCGCAGGCTGCTGGCGGACCACAACAGCGTGTTCACAAAAACTGTGTCGGATTTTTAGACATGTTAGGGTTTTTATTATTACAAAGCATGTACGTCTGACTGCTTGAAGGTAACTGTACTGTAGCATTCTACCCCGTAGAGATATGGGGTGAGAAGATATACATTTAAGAAGAACCTAGCAGTAAATTGATATGACAAGATTAGGGCTATTTAGAGGACTTGTTATGAACTGTTACAATACTGCTCAGGCTATTAGCCATTCTTGCAACCATTCACTTGGTGTGACAAACTCTGGTGGACTCTTTAAGATGGTGCAAATGCTACTGTGACTAACCATGATTTCAGGTGTAATGGTATAGTATGAATTATTTATGTAGCAAAAAGCACGGTAAACAATAGAAATTATTCAACAGTCTCATGATTACTAATTGGTCTCAGGTCTGTTATTTGTCTTAATTTCTCTTCTCATTTCCTTCTTGAGACAATTGCTCCTTTTAAAGAATTACACTATCTTCATATCAACAACATGCATTTTACTTACAGTTCAAACAGGAGCACTATTCACAAACAGGAGAAAAGACATCATTCTGTGTGACTGTACAATGAGAGATTTTTTTTAAAAAAAGGAAAAGTAACAGACAACAAATAAAAGGGAATCTTCCAGACCCTTACAACCTAATGTGTGTGTATGTGTATGTATGTATGTATGTGTATGAATATATGTATGTATGTAAAAAGAAGGTACTAGGTAAAATTAATCCTTCCTTGTGTATGTAAGGTTGTTTAGCCCAAGAAGGATTTACTTGTTCTATAATAGGTAAAAATCAATGTAAATGTTTACAAAATAACTATTAGTCTCTTGCTTTTAGGATATCAACATAAAAAAGGTAGATATCATGAATTATGGATTTGAAGACCAGTATTAAAAGCCCAATGAACTTCAAGAGGAAGTCCTTGAGAAAAGCTGAGTTTGCTCTTATAGTGATGAGGAATAAGCAGAAGTTCATAAAATAATGTTCAGCCCTCCCCCAGCATGTATTGTTCTCTTTGGGGCAAAAGGCAGGATGTTATTTTATTAAGTTACTGAATTAACCCACTTTCTGGCTTTATATAACCTTACATAACCCATTTTCTGGCTTTACATAACTTTACACCAGGGTGAAATCCAGCAGGTTCTGACAGGTTCTGGAGAAACGGTAACAGAAATTTTGAGCAGTTCGGAGAACTGGTAGCAGAAATTTGGAGCAGTTCGGAGAACCAGTAGCAGAAATTTTGAGCAGTTCGGAGAACCAGTAGCAGAAATTTTGAGCAGTTCGGAGAACCGGTAGCAGAAATTTTGAGTAGTTTGGAGAACCGGCAAATACCACCTCTGCCTGGCCCCAGAGTGGGGTGGGAATGGAGATTTTGTAATATCCTTCCCCAGGAGTGGGGAGGGAATGGGGATTTTGCAGTATGCTTCCCCTGGAGTGGGGTGGGAATGGAGATTTTACAGTATCAAGCCCCGCCCACCAAGCCACACCACGTCCACCAAGCCACGCCCACAGAACTGGTAGTAAAAAAAATTAGGATTTCACCTCTGCTTTACACTGAACCACAAACAAAATGGCCTATGCTGAACACACTAACATACAAGAAATGTTACCAAGGTTAACACTAACTGAATTTACTATGTTATATGACTGTGTCCGTTAAAGTATTACCTGCCCTTATGGAAATACATTGCGTAAATATAAATACAGAGTATTGAAGAGGCATCTTTTGTTGTGCAACAAGTCTTTTCTAATTCACTACATTTTAAAAGGAAAAGCTATTACTCATTTGTAACCCCTTTGCCACTGCTCCTTCCATCTTCAATAGAAAACTTATTGAAGATTTTTAGTTTACTCTGCTATTAATTAAAAAAGTTCAATATTTATTAAAAGCTTTGTCAGAAAATATCACATGCTGATGTTAAAGGAATCTGTTCATTACAGTGAACATAAATCTTTTCAAGCTTATTAGACTAAGTGCTATTTAATATGTATCTGAGGGGGTTGAACTATGGAGTTCTTGGTGCTCTCTAAGCTTGGTTGTTTCCTTTCATAATGAAAACTCATCTCACAACAAATAGACCAGTGTTTCTCAACCTTGGAAGCTTGAAGATGGGTGGACTTCAACTCCCAGAATCCCCCAGCCAGCAGCCCCGGACTCGGGGATTCTGGGAGTTCAAGTCCACCCATCTTCAAGCTTCCAAGGTTGAGAAACACTGAAATAGACAGAACAAATCAGAGTTTCAACTGGGCTACTATTAGCATCTTAGATCAAGTTCAAACCAAAAATGCCAGTGAATTCTAGGAAGCTTGGCATGTAGACATACCAGTCTCAATACAGATAAGCCACATTTACACACTATTCAAAAGAGTACATAAAAAAACATTGAATCAAAAAGACTAGACACATTCCCATATTCAGATAAGCAAGGATCAACACCACACAAACAAGGAATCATCTAATATCCTAATCAAGGAACTATCAAAAAGAAAACCAATAAAGGAGAATATTTGTAGCTCAGGGGTGAAATGAGAGGTCCTTGGTGGTCTCTGAGCTTGCTTGTTTTCTTGTAGACGTTTCATTACCCTAACTAGGTAATGTCATCAGTGCTAGTAATGAGTGCTGTTTGCTGTCAGTTTATATTCTGGTGTCTTGCCAGTCTGTGTGGGTGGGGCTGTTCTTAGAAATTCTTTGGTTGGGCTGTTTACTGAAGTCTTTTTGACAGTTTCTTGATTGACAGTTTCTTGATTGGGATATAAAGAAAACCATGTTCCCACCAACATTGGCAGGGCAAACTAGGTATACATCTAAGTGCTATTGCTATATAAACAGGGACAAACCCCACCCTCACTGGCACTGATGATGTTATCTAGTTGGGAAATAAAACATCTTCAAGGAAACAACCAAGCTCAGCACCAAACCCTGAGCGCCAGAAATTAAATATTTTGTTCTTTGTAAAGTTTGAAGTTTACAGATCACAGACACTGTGCACAGAAGTTTAAATTCGCCAAGCAATTCCCATCTTACCAACAGATCCTCCTTATTTTATTCCTCCACTGTGAGTCACCTGAAGGCAGAACAAGAAACAATGGATGGAAGGTAATGAAGGAGAGAACTAACCTAGAAATAAGGAGAAACTTCATGACCATTAGAACGATTAATCAGTGGGACAGCTTGCCTTCAGAAGTTAGAGGTGCACTGGAGATTGTAAAGCAGAAATTGGACAGCCATTTGTCACAAATGGTGTAGTAGGGTCTCCTGCTTGAGCGGGGGTAGGATTAGATGACCTTCAAGGTCCCTTCCAACTCTGTTATTGGGTCAAATCTGCCTAGTAAGTGTGGTTGGGGTCAGAATCTTGAGTTTCACATACAATAGATTAGAATTCTTTATTGGCCAAGTGTGATTGGACACACAAGGAATTTGTCTTGGTGCATTAGTTTCACATCATCACCCCCATACTGACTCCGCCACAAAACGCAGGTTAGTGAATTCGCACGAAATGCTGATTCCTGAACTCCACCTACCGGCTGAGCGAGCGCAGGGCAATAGGGCAGCGTTTGCTCAACTTTGGCCACTGGAAGATGTTTGGACTTCAACTCCCACAATTCCGCAGCCAGGCTTGAAACCGAAGTCCACACCTCTTCCCGTGGACAAGGTTGAGAAACGCCGTCCTAGAGATAAGCTTTGCTGGCTGAGGAATTCTGGGAGTTGAAGTCCACAAGTCTTAAAGTTGCCAAGGTTGGAGACCTCTGCTGCAGTGCGAATACAGCCCTAAGGAGACACTTCCGCCTTTGGGAAAGCAGCTTCGTTGCTAGGTTACCCGAGTGATGTAACTGCAAACGTCATCACTTCTTACCTCCTATTTCTTCGGTCTGCGCCGGAAGAGCTCGGATCACCTGACCGGAAGAGTCTTTTTGCCTTGGCAACCCGGAACTTCCAGAAAGATAGTTGGAGGCGAAATGGGTTGCGATGGAGGAACCATCCCGAAACGGCACGAGCTGGTGAAGGGCCCTCGTAAGGTGGAGAAGGTGAGACCGGGTTCAGAAAGGAGAGCTCAGGCTGGGAGTGTATTCCGTTCTGGAACAGAGAAATGATGGCCCAAATAGATCCACTACCTGAGTTTTGGGTCCTTTTTGCAAGTACAGGTAGACCTCGACTTATAATAGTTCATTCAGTGACCGTTCGAAGTTACAGCGGCGGTGAAAAATGTGACTTATGACCGTTTTCACCGTTATGATATTTGCAGCTTGCCCCATGATCAGGTGATCAAAATTCAGGTGCTTGGTTACTGATTCATATTTATGACCGTTGCTGTGTCCCAGGGTCATGTGATCACCTTTGGTGACCTCACAAGGAAAGTCAATGGGAAGGCTTAGATAATAACCGGGTTACTAACTTATCGGCTGCAGTGATTCACTTAACAACTTAACAACTGTGGCAAGGAAGGTCGTAAAATGGGACAAAAATTTCTCACTTAACAACAGAAATGTTGGGTTCAATTTTGATCGTAAGTCGAGGACTACCTGTACAGCAGACGAGAGTTTCATCGAATTTCATAATGTTAACCCGCTTAGGGAGAAGTAATTCCAGGAGTAACGAGGCAGCTAGGAATCGGTTTGATTAAAACGGCAAGTGTTTCTTTTTAATGGGGTTGCATGGGTGGGATTTGCTGTCCTCAGGCTGTCAGGAGAGCATATTTTCCATCATGATCAGATTATTGTACTCTGTTTTTACATGATTGATTTTAGATATATATGTGGGATTACAACTTGCTCTTCAACATTAGAAATATCCAGATGGGCATATACTTGTCATTGTGTCAACAACTAGACTCAGTTTTGATTCCAGTGGTGAATAAGCATGGTGAAATAAACACCCAGCAAGTGGGCACCTGCTTACTTCTGTGATTACTTCATTTTTGACTGTTGCCTTCTGGTAGAAGATACAGAACAATTAAAACTCAGACCACACGTTTTCTGAATAGTTTTTATTCTGGAGCTATAATTGCACTCAACAATGAACTAAAGGGCCACCATCAGTGAGCTGTTGGACAGCATTACTTGGTCTGTTATGTGGATGTTTGGGTGGTTTAGGGGTGGGGAATTTGTGGTGGGTGGGAGTATGTTTGGGGATTGTTATGTGTGTTGGACCTGGTCTTTGGGTGTTGTGAATTTTGTTGTATGGGTATACTGTGTATACATGTACAATGACAATAAAGTTGTTATTATTTTTGTGAAGGTGATTGAAGCCCTTTTCTGGTAGAGGGCTTTGCTGGTTGTTGCTTGGTTTGTGCCATTTTTTGTTTTGTTTTTATTACAGCTCTCTATGTTTTTATCTGGGTGCTGCCCAGGTCACAAGGAATAAAGAGGTGTAAACATTTGATAATAAAATAAAAACAACCTATAAAGTAGAAATGTAGCATCCTGAAAGTAATTGGTGTGATGTGATGCAGTAACTAAAAAAGCCAGCATAGCCTAAGAAAATATTACATCTACATAGATCATGGCACACAGTAATATTTACATGTATTACGTAGACTCCAATACAGGAGAACATATGTAGCTTAGTTAATCAACTACAGGATATCTATACAAATTGAAATGGGTCAAAAAAAAAAGTATAGAAAGTAAGTACAAAGATTTTGATTTTAACTATTATTTCTTTTTCTAAAATGGTATATAATTTGTTACGTTCCCCAGGTTGACAAAAATGCAGAATTAGTAGCCCAATGGTACTATTGCACTCTAAGTCAAGAAAAATTAAGCAGACCTATAGTAGCTTGTGAACTTGGCAGGTAAGATTATATTTTAAATTCTTTTTCAAATTTTTGAATAAATTTGAATTGGAAAGTTAGCCTATTTTTCACAATATATGTTTTGCTATAGGCTGTACAACAAAGATGCAGTCATTGAATTTTTGCTGGATAAATCTTCTGATAAAGTCCTTGTGGAGGCTGCATCCCATATCAAGAGTATTAAGGTATGTTAAGTTATTAACAATACATGTTAATGATTATAGTACACAAGTGAAACGGAGAGTTACAAAATTTATCTTTATTTTCTTGACATAAACTTCCTTGATATTAATGAAACTTTGAAGCATCTTATTTACACAGTATGAAGTGTTTTTTCAGTGAGACCCATCTATCAGGGCAACCTGGTCTACCCAAATATGGGACGGAGCATACTGCTTCCGCTTTCGCCTTTCAGCCCCAATCCAGGAGCCTTCGTAGGCAGTTGCTTCCGCAAGAAACTATTTTGTGTTAAATTTAAATTTACCGACAAATTTATTTCTCGATAAAATTTAAATTTACACAGTATGGGGTTTTTTTAAGAAAAAATTGGGGATACGTGAAATGCATTTTCTTCCAAAGCCAAACACCAACATGTTTCTTTTTTGCTTCTGTGACATAAATATATGCTGTTAGACTGCTTCTTTTTGCCTATACTGCCTCCTTTTTGCTTCTTATGCCTAAACACTCACAATTCTTCCTATAAAGAAGGGAGATTTTCTCCTTCCCTTATGCTTTTAAACTTATAAAGGTCCATTGGTGTTGTTTAGCCTAATTTGAGAAAAATGCTTTTATCACCAGAAACTGCCTGCTTGCATCTACACCCTATGACCAAATAGATTTCCTTCTAGAATATTTGTATTTTTCATACCCTACTGTTGTCTTCCAATTTAGGTGATACTTTCTTTATCATAGTGTCAAATCAATTTACGTAACGTATGATTCATTTCTTGCAGAATGTCATAGAATTGAATCTCTCAGACAATCCAGCTTGGACTGGTGACAAGGGTAATACAAAAGGGGATAAATATGCTGACATCCAAAGTGCACGTTTTATTTGCCCTGTGGTTGGATTGGAAATGAATGGAAGGCATCGGTAAGTGTTTCCAATTTAATTAGGTTATAAATAACATGCTTTGCTGTCTTTTTTAAAGTATGGCCATTTTCATAAAAAGATTGCTTGTTGTGTTCCATAATCTTTCCAAACTATGAAAATAGAATTTGTAAAATGATATTGAATGCTAGCATTATAAAAACTGTTCAGTAGATGTATGATTTACGGTGCAAGAAGTTATAATTATGTGTGACTCCAATATTTGATGAGGTAGTAACAAATAGCTCAGTGAAAATAATATCCCTGTGAAAAACAATATTCCATGTCAGATATCATTAAGAAAAATAAAGAAAACTGTTAATATGACATTATTTATGTATAAATCTTTGGTAAGATTTGTTTGAATGATGCGTGGAATCGTGACTAAAAGATAGAGACAACCAAACAACCAAACTCAGGCACCAAGGACAGAGTGGGATGATTTGAGAGGGACACAGTTGCCTCCCTCCATCTCTCTTCCACTCCAGAAAACATCCACCATGATATTTTCGAACGAAGATTGAATGTTGTAATTCTGTCAGGTAAAGATTCCTCTAATGTTCACAACAAAAAACACTTGTCAGTGATTGCACTAAATAGCCATTTGTTTGCTTGCTTGAAATCTTCACAAAATATGAGAGAGGCAAGATACTGCAATTGTTGCCCAGGTTGATGGATTCCATTGCAGACACAGGATTCAGGCCCGTACTCAGATACTGCCTACTCCTACTTACTGCTGCTGCTTAGCAATATCAAGTCACTCTATTTGGAATACAAAGGCCAGTGTATCTTGATTGTTGCCATCACCAAGCAGTAAGTAAAAGCTGCTGTCATCACTCCCAATGAAACATTTGCTTTACTGTTGCCCCAGGTGCTACCACTCAACAACATTTGATGCCACGAAATAACGGACCTCCCACTATATGAGACAGTCATATCTGTCTCAAACATACCAAGGTTTCTGGTTCCTGGTCCATTTTAAATGTTATCAGAAGCACCTGAAAGCCTACTCACAATGCTGTTCCTTAACTACTCTGTTCAACTCCAGCTCGATAAGCAGGTGGCAGTCATGGCTAGGAGGTCCTTTGTACAGCTCCTTCTTGTGTGCCATTCCTGGATTGGCAGACTCTGTTTACAGTCACTCATGCCTTTGTCACCTCCAGATTGGACTACATACACTACATGGGGTTGCCCTTGGAGACTAACCCAAGGCTTCAGCTAGTACAAAATGCAGCAGCATGAACACTTATGTACACTCCTACAACAGAGACAGTGGTGGGTTGCTACCAGTTCGCCCCGGTTCAGGCGAAACAGTAGCGGCGATGGCAGGAGGTTCCGCCCACCCGCCCAGACGCTTCTGCACATGCACAGAAGTGTTGCGCACGCGCCCACAAGCAAACCAGTAGCGACGGGTTTTGAAACCCACCCCTGAACATTACACATTACACCTCTGCTCCATGAGCTACATTGGTTGCCAGTTTTTCTGGTTGCTGGTTTTGACTTTTGAAGTCCTTCATGGCATGGGACAAGGTGTCTGAGGGACTGCCTCTCCAGTTATTTCAGCCTGTCCCATTAGATCTGGCAGAAGAGACATGCTGTGTGTACGATCAGCTAAGGGCCTCCATTTGGTGGATCCCAGGCAGTGGTGGGATGCAACCGGTTTAACCATCGGTTCGGTGAGCACGTACTTTGCGCTTGTGTCTAACGCGCATGTGCGCAGCGTTCAAAATACAGCAATTTGAAGCTCAGCTGCTTATCTTCTAAGGCAGCCCCGGTAAGTAGAACAGCAGAGGCACGGGAATCAGCTGAGCCAGAAAGAAGGAAATATAGGACAGGATAGGGCGGGTGTGGGTGGGTGGGCAGGACCAGCTGATCGTTGGAACTACCATTCGCCCGAACCGGCTGAATCCCACAAAATGGAAGGCTAAGCAGAGTGAAAGTAAAATAGTAGAACAATAAAATAAAAAGACAACAAAGCAAATATATCAATATGACCAATAAAAAAGATGGGTGAGTGGGAAGCAGGGGGGGAGGTAGAATTTGTTGTCTATCTAGCACCACCTCCAGAATAGAACTCCCCCATTGGGACTTCAGGCCAACCAGCAGATTATTGAAATCTGACAAGACTTCATGAATGCTAAAAAGTCCAATTATATTACAGTATTTGCTCCATTGTGATGGCTTCTGGCATCTGAAATTTTTCCCATTCCTGCTGTACAAGATTCCCTGGCTAAGAAACCTTTGATGACACTGAGTTAGTAAATCCATATTCTTAAGCAAATGAAGAAAAAGTTCTTTTTTAAAAACACCTATATACAGACAGACCTCAGCTGAATATTTAGTCCTAAAATGTTTTTATATGTTAAATCCAATGTTACTTGTTTCCTAGCCAATGTGATTAAAGTTGCAGCTTAAACTAGATGGGGCTAAAGGGTTCATTTAGAAATTTAAACAAATAAATAAATTTGTGCTCTTATTTAGCATGTGATTTTTAAAAAATAGTTCTGAGCAGGTTACAATTACTTATGCTGTGGTTTGAAGGTTGGAGAAGCAGCACATAGGCCAGTCTGAAATCCACATACAAGCATATTTACCCAGGCAGATTTATTACTCAGTATGTCACAGCAATGAAGACCATATTTGCAATACCCTGTGACAGGGGTTTTAAATTCTTATTGGATTATTTTTTTAATTAAGAATTTATATTAAGAAAAGAATTCTGGAACTGCTAGTGAAGGAGCAAAACTCTATTAAAACTGGAAAATTGGCTGTACTTGAGTGAACTCTTCTTGTATTCATCCTTTGTCTTTAGTCTCTTATGAACTCCCTGGAGCATAGTTGTTGTTTTTTTTATTTAAAAAACCCTGTGATGTAACATCAAATGGCTTCAAGGCAAATGCAGATAATTTATTATCAATAGTATAAATTATGAAATTGATTATCCACAGTCCCTAACTCAGGAGTCTGCAACCTTAAACACTCAAAGAGCCATTTGGATCCATTTCCCACAGAAAAGTAAACACTGGGAGCCACAAAACCTGGGTGGGCGTGGCCAACTCAATGTCACTCACTTCCACCAGTCACATGACCCCCCTACCTAGCTGGTCATTAGGGCAGAGAACAAGTTGTTAAGAAACACCGGGAACCACAAAATCCTTTTGACATCTCTCTGTCTCCCCCTTCCTCTCTCCCTCTCTGTCCTTCTCTCTCCCCCCGTCTCTCTGTATCTCTCTATGTCTCTCCCCAACCCACCCTCTCTGTATCTCTCTATCTCTGCCCTGGCCGCTTCTCCATCCCCTGCAGGCGCCCTTGCCTTCTCAGGCCAGGCGAGGAGTGACTGGGAGGGGAGGGTGAAGGATGGGGCCAGCCAGTGCTGGGATCATCCGACAGGGAGCTACAGCAGAGGGCCCAAAGAGCCACATGCGGCTCCAGAGTTGCAGGTTGCTGACACCTGCCCTAACTATACAATTGTGTGTTAAAATGAAAAAGAGTAATGTAGATACAAAATAGAAACTCCAAACAAGACAGAAAATACACACTGAAGGTGGTCTTATTTTTTTCCCCTTCTTCTTGCATCTTTCTGTTCTCACAAACATAAGGAACTGCCAGATTCCCAATTTCTTTTGAATACACTTTTTAAAGAAATAAATATACGCAGCAATAAGTACTATTCTCACTGGTTTTACTGTTAGGTCCTGGAAAATGTGTCGTGCTTGATCTTCCTTATTTCATTCAGATCCTTGTTAGCCCTCCTTTTTTCCTTCACAGTAAGCCAAACATAACATATGATTACGCAGTCATTAGTATTTACAATAGATTGTTTACAGCAGCCTTAGAATTTGTACAATTAGCTCTCAATGTATTCAGTAAGACTTTGTTGCAAATACATATTCATTAATTATCAAAATTCTTACCTTTACATTATCAAAGAAATCAGTCTTATTGATGAATGTTTGTGAACCTCATCCAAGAATGACTTACAGGCTTACGTCTGAAATATCTGGATCTACCGTGTTTCCCCGAAAATAAGACCCTTATAGTCTTATATTTTTTTGGATCCCAAAATAAGCGCTTGGCCTCATTTTCGGGGAGGTCTTATTATTTTGGGACACGTGGAGCAAAACAGGACTCCTCTTGCTGTCTTACCTGATTTCCAGCTCTGTCTCCTTAACCCTAACTAGAGGAAATGGCGGGGATTGGTTGTGCATGCGTTTAAATATTTTGGGAGAGGGCTTATTTTCCGGAAGGATTTTGAGCATGCGCTCAAAAGCCTGATTGGGCTTATTATCAGGGGATGTCTTATTTTTGGGGAAACACGGTACCTGTAACCCAATATTTTAACAATTGGTGAAGAAAATGTTAAATCTAAGAAACACCCATGTTGATGGAAGTAAAGAGATACTGGTGTTTATTAGTTTACTGAAATATTGTAGCCTTGCAATGTTGTTTTTTTTCTTAAAATGTTTTTTCTTAAAATGCTAAAATGAACATTTTAAGAAAAAAAACATATTAATCTATGGTAAGTACATAGTCGTTCCGGGAAATACAGAATGATCAATTTCAATAATTTTTTTTTTTTTCTGAAGACAAATTGAAAGTAGAAGTTTCGGAGTTGATCATGCACCAGAAGTCATACTTTTCAAAAGCAATTAGTTGATTAAGCTAGTTGAAAATATTTTTTTAAATAAGTGTTGCGTATTTGATTTCCCAGAAACTTTATCTGGTAAGAATATTAACATTATTTACATTATGTCAGCATCATGTTAAAATCTCAGATGGAACGTGGGAGTAATATTTCCTTGTTTTGTCTATCCAGTAAGCTCTGGAAATTTTTTTTTTTGCTGCAACAGGATACTACTTCCGTACTCCATCTGCAAATTGTTGCTAGTCAGAGATTTGCTTAGAAAATCTGGCCTTGCAAAGAGATTTAATTCCTAACAAGGAGTGTGCAACATTGCAACTAGGATACCTTTGAAACAAATAGTGTATTGATTAAAAATTAGCCTGCATAACATTACCTACAGCGGGATTCTATATATGTTTTCACAGAAATAAGTATACATGAATTCTGTTGGTCTTGTTACTAGCTTTAAATATACAGGTAGTCCTTGACTTACAACGATTCATTTAATGACCGTTCAAAATTACAACGGGACTGAAAAAAGTGATTTATGACCATTTTCCACAGTTACAACCGTTGCAGCATCCCCGCGGTCACGTGATCAAAATTCAGATGCTTGGCAACTGACTCGTACTTAAGACGGTTGCAGTGTCCCAGGGTCATGGGATCGCCTTTTCTGACCTTCTGACAAGCAAAGTCAATGGGGAAGCCAGATTGACTTAACAACCATGTTACTAACTTAACCATTGCAGTGATTCACTTAACAACTGCGGCAAGCAAGGTTGTAAAATGGGGCACAACTCAGTGAACTAACGTCTCGCTTAGCAACAGAAATTTTGGGCTCAATTGTGATCGTAACTCAAAGACTACCTGTATAGGATTACTGTTCTAATCAGAGTTGCTTTAGCTGCACTAAGAGCTGTGTGTTCAATTTACTAAATCTCTTTTCCTTTGCTTTTCTCAGCTTTTGCTTCCTGCGCAACTGTGGGTGTGTGTTTTCTGAACGTGCTCTCAAAGAAATTAAAATGGAAACTTGTCACAAGGTACGTTACCTCCTCCGATTGTTCCCTGTGTGTGTGTCTCTCTCTCACGCACTATTCTAGGATAACTTTGTCCTGTGTTCCTTTATCTTAAATCAGTGTTTCTCAACCTTGGAAGCTACCAAGGTTGAGAAACACTGTCTTAAATCCTGTGGATTTTAACAAAGGTTTTATATTAGCTAACCAGACTGCAGTTGTAAGTTAGGGAAATACTTATCCTCACTTCCTCCTTTTGGTTTTGGATGCATGTGGTTATTGAAAAAAGGACACTGGTTGTTTACTCAATGGAAATCTTTGTCTTTTGTCTTGGCAGCCCAATAAAAATTCATTCAAGCGCAAAGCTTTTTACTTTTAGCCAAATTGACATCCGTCTCTAGAACTGGGATTTTGTTTTCCTGGTTTTTTTTTCCAGTTTCTTTTATTCGGCTCTACTCTTTAAGGAACTCTGCTGACAAAATTGCTCTGTTTTTCATTCTGAAGGTCTCAGTATTGCCTCCAAATCTAGATACTTACTTCTTGGTAATATGAATGGTTGCTATAGAACTAGTTCTAGTGTCACTTTGAGTTCACAGGTCTTTGAAGTTTTAGTTCCTTTGTGTTTCAGGAAATGCCTAACTAGGCAGGCAGGAGGACTCAAATGGGAGATTAGCCTTGAATCATTGTGCAACCACAAGAGGTCCACTTGCATCCCCAGCTCCATAGAGTCTTATCTGTCTATTCCCAAGAGAAAGCAAGCAATCTGGAATATTTCTGTGTAATAGGCAGAATATAATGAAATATTAGGTTAAACTCTGCATGTGTGGATCTAGTTGCTTGCACCTGACAATAAACCCGATGCTGCAAACCCATAACCAACCCACTGAATAACCTTGCAATATGGACAGCCTTGGCTTTTCATGGTTCATAGTTATTCGTAGTAACATAAATTCTGTGATTGTCCACATATAAAATGAACAGAGCATTGAACAGTGTGGTTTCTAAATTTGTTTCCTTTTTACTACTGCAGTAAATGCAGAGCTTTGACATGGTGATGCTTCTTGAGTTTGAAATACAAATGTCGACAGACAATGATGTATTGGTATTTTAGGTTTTGTTTATTGTACTGAATTTCTTTAAAAATGGTTCCTTTAGCTGTAGTGGTTCTTGTCTTTATTTCTCGTGATCCTTCACAAAACAAGCTTAAACATCCTTACAGTTGTCCTCTTCACTGAGGCTACTTGATTGTTAGGTGATTGAGAGAAAGAAATCAGAGTGACAGACATTGTTGAATTAAATACTGTATTATCATTATCATCATTATTATTATTATTAATTAATTAATTTATTTATTTGATTTATATACCGCCCTACTCCCGAAGGACTCAGGGCGGTGAACAGCCAAACAGTAAAAATACATAGATACAAAATTTTAAAAACAAAGTAAAATCGAATTAAACAATTTGGCCCAGACAAATTAAAACACCCCAATCATTTAAAAACCAATTAAAATTTGCATAATTAAAAAGAGGGAAAAGATTAGTCCAGGCCCGCCTGGTGAAATAAATCATCTTAAAATATTCCTTGGAAAGAGAGATTATGAGTGTTTTTTGTATCATTAAATGCATTTGTAATGATCATTTTGCGTGTTGCAGAATTCTTTTCAAATTCTGATCAATGCCTACATTTTAAACGAAAATTAGATCTGAAGGAGAGTGGCTTGACAGACATCAATATCCAGTCTCAAAGTCTGTGAAAGAATTGCTAAACATAAATATCTGTAGAGTATATGTGTATAAAATTACTGAGCTCTGCAATTTCTTTAGTTCCCTTTTATGCAGTGTTGTCAGTCTAGACTCTAGTGCACGGGTGTCAAACCCGCAGCGTCACGTTGCTGTCATGTGACGTATCACAATGTTTTTTCCCTTCGTGGAGTTGGGGTGGGTATGGCCTGCATGGGATGCTGGATGCGTGGGCCGCCAGTTTGACACCCCTGCTCTATTACTCCCCTGCCCTTGATTAAGTAATTTATTGAGGGTCCCCCTCCCCAAATATTCTGTTTTCCTGAGATGAGGCAGATAGCGAAAATGGAAAGGCTTTTCGTGAAACTGTGGGTCTCCCTCCTTTGTTCTAATACATAAGTGGGCAGTTTCTTCACAGCAAGGACATGCTTTGGTGGGCATGCTGATGGACATGTCTTCTAGAGCTTTGGGACAGTTGTTTTCCCTGGGAAAAATGGGAAGGAAGACAGTGATGGATGGATGGCTAGATGCAATACCTAATAGGAACAACTGAGACTGCAGCAAAAAAGTATAGGACTCCTATAACTTCAACACTTTGTGCGACATACCAAACTACCAAATTTTTACTTCAAAAGTGAACAAGATTAGGTTTGATGTTGTTTTGTTTGGGGGATTTTAAGGATCAAATGCAAATATTAAGCATTTCCCTTGCTTTGGGCACTCGTTTTCCACCGTAACTGAAAAAGAGAAGATGACTGAAAGGGTCAATCTTACACGTTCTGCGGAAGAAACTCTTGGGGCCATCAAAGGGTGATATGCACCCTATGCATATCAAGTTATGCTTAGCCCTAGACTATATTTTTGCATCCTCACGGTAGCATTTGGATGCACATCATTCTTGTACTGCACATTGATGATCACAGATGCAGAGTAAGTATATTGTACCAATAAAGGAGAATATTGGTAGCTTGGTAGTTGAAATGAGGGGTCCTTGATACTCTCTGAGCTTGCTTGTTTTCTTGCAAACGTTTCATTACTCAAACTAGATCATAAGTGCTAGTAAGGAGTGCTGTTTGCTGTCAGTTTATATTCTGGTGACTTGCCTGTCTGTTTGGGTGAAGGCGGTCGTTGAAATTCTTTGGTTGAGCTGTTTACTGATGACTCTTTGGCAGTTTCTTGATTGGGGTATTGCTTACTTGACTGTTGGTCTGAAGTTGACCTTGGAGTAAGTATTGTATTTTTCGGAGTATAAGATGCTCTGGACTAACATCTACCTTTTTGGGGGAGGAAAACAAGATATACGCTGGTGCATGGATATGGGAAGAAATATGAAATTTTACCAGTTTGGAACTGTTTTACGTTTTTTTCTTTGCATAGATTGATATTGTAATCAGAATTAGTAAGTTATTCAGCACGCAATCTGTTAGATGTAAAGCTTTGTTCCCCCTCTCTTTATTTTCCTTCAGGTAACATTTTGTTAGTGAAATGCTTTTTAAATTCCAGCTAATCGTTGATTCTAGACAGAAATTTTACAACAAAACGACACAAAGAAGAAAATAAGGCTCGTAAAACACTCACAATAACTCTGCCTCCCAACAATTTGCCTCGTTGCAGCAAACAGCCTGCTTTAGTTTTATTTTCAGCACAGCCTGAAAATAATCAGCACAGCCTGATTAGCAGAAGGAAAAAAAAAATCTGCCTCCCAGCAATTTGCCTGCTTGCAGGAGTCCCATGTGGCAATAGGCAATGGCAATCCCTGCAGCCTGAAACAGCTGAGGGTCGGGAGGCAGATCCAACCAACAATCAGCTGCTTGTGCTAATCAGGCTGTGCTGAAGCTGAAACGGGCTGTTTGCTGTTTGCTGCAAGGAGGTAAATTGCTAGGAGGCAGAGGCCAAAGGATGTGGGCCGGCGGTGGATGGGGCTACATTCGGTGTATAAGACTCTTTTCATCCTCTTTGGGGGGGGGAGTGCATCTTACACTCCGAAAAATACGATATATTGCTGATCTAGATGCTGATTACTGGTGGAGAGGAGCTGGAGTCTTTTTCTCTTTTGGGCTTTGGTTGGGCTGTTTACTATGGCTCTTTCGCAGTATATTGTATATATGGAGTAAAGGCAATTATTTTTCTCTCTCTCTCTTGTTTCCCCATTTCCCCCCAAATTATCTTGTTGCCCTAATAACAAGCTCCCTTGAACCATTGAAAGAACCTTCTCTTTAATCACTTGCCTTGGCTGTATGCAAGGGGGTATGTGCAGAAGGGATGGTCTGCTCAAGCTTGTTGCTATCCCATTTGGAAGAAAAAAAGCTTAACAAATTACTTTGATTGCATCTCCGTGGGGTAGAAAAAAAAGATTAAATATAGTGTGCATGGTTGCTGTTTTAGATTAGGGTTGCTGGGCAGGGACCAGATTTGAAACATCTGGATATTGGTACAACTCTTTTGTTTTTAGTACATAGCATTTCTGAATTTTTACAGCTTGTATTACTTTTGATTGCTTAATCAGCTGATTGTGGACCCCATTCAAAACTTCATTTCACAGAAGAATATTGTGATAGATAAACCTTACTGGGGTAGTATGATTTTTTAAAATTAAAAAGTTGATATCTATTTTATAGCCCTAGGCTCTCTCAAAGCTGCTTATGAAAGGATCTTGCATAAGAATTTATGAAATCTAATACAAAAACAACCATCAAGGACCCTGGAGGCGCAATGGTTAGAATGCAGTATAGCAGCCTAAATCGGCCCACAGTCTGGAGTTCGATCCTGATGGGGCTTGAGGTTGACTCAACCTTCCATCCTTCTGAGGTCAGTAAAATGAGGACCCAGATCGTTGGAGGAGGGCGACTATACGCTGACATTGTAAACTGCCCGAAGAGTGCTGTAAAGCGATATGGGGCAGTATATCAGTCTAAATGCTATTGCTATCAACCATCCATTCACTGTTATATCATTCAGGCATAAGATCCTGCCCCTCCCCCCCTTTTGTCTTTCTTCTTTTCATTAAAGTTTAATATATTAATGTGTAGAATAAAACACATGGTACATAATGCAAAAATAAAGGAGTAGATAATACTTTCAGAAGCGTCATCTATTTTAGAATAATTCAGAAAAAAAAATTATATCATTTTAGTTTATCTTTCCAAGAAATGTTTGGGCAGGTTGACGTTACTTGTGTCGGGAATACCTTGTGTCGGGAATACCTGTGGTGGTCCGAGCGGCCTGCCAGCAAAAATGGGCTGCTGAGCTCCATTTCGGCTGCGACGGCCTCCTGCAACCCTCTGT